TGACTATGAGCTCCTTATAAAACCTCTGCAAACTCATTCTTTATGTCTCCTCCCTCTGCAGACAGGCCCCTGGGAGCCACACCCTCTGCAGACAGGCCCCTGGGAGCCACACCCTCTGCAGACAGGCCCCTGGGAGCCACACCTTCTGCAGACAGGCCCTTGGGAGCCACACCCTCTGCTGATGGAACCATGGGGGCCCCACTCTGGCTCCAAGCTTCCACAAACTCCTGCACCTCCAGCAACCAGGAGAACCTTTGGTACAGCCAACTCAAGTCCAGTTGCTCCTGCAGGACATAAACATGAAGCAAAGAAGAAAACTGATGAAGTGACCTCTTCTGTCTCTCTCATCTATTCCCTTTGTCAGTGGTTCGGTAAAAGCCTGATTTGTTCTTAACATTATGCATTAAATGCTAAAAGCTGCTAAGTACAAAATAATTGAAGACTGTGAAATTTCTTTTCATTTAACAAACCATTTTTTCAGGTAAAAACTAACAGGAGCTAATACCAAACAACTTAGATTCCCTGATACGGTTCAATTTCAAGAGAAGGAAAAAATAAAAAAACTGGCAGGACTAAACATTCACATTAAAGTGTCTTCTTCATTCATGGTTTGAAATCAGGCCCTTTAACACTTGTAGGCATGAGAAACATGTAGGAAAAGCTATAACCCACTTATATTCAAATAATTGAGAGGAGAGAACATTTTGGAATAAGTAAGGATTAAACAACAAAAGTCAGTGCTCCAAAGATTTCTGGATGGTGATGCAAAAACATAATCTATTCCACATCGTGTGTCCCATTTAAGTTGACATTGACTTTTATTCCTTTTATTAAAACATGATACTGGCTTTGAGAGTGAAAAGTATGTGCTGGTCTGTACAGTGAGAATAGAACACTGACAGCCCACCCCCTGGTTCTGAAAGTCAAATTTCCATTCATTTTTCTCATAGAATTTTTCAAAAAATATATTTGAAAAAGTTTGAACATTTCTACGTATGAATGTTCAGCAATTACCAAGGTGACAAAATGCACACAATGCACAAAGCACATGCACACACTGCCAAAAAAGATCCGAAAACAAGCTCAGATAAATGTCTAACTCGAGTAACAGAGCTTCAGAGCTGTGTCTCAAGTTAGCATCTCAAACCTCAGAGAATGTTAATCAACTTCTGAAACATTTTTCTATAAACTCCTATGTTGGTTAGCCTCCACAATGCCTTTAAACTCTGAATATTTGGATTTTTCCAAAATTTCAATCTGAAATGAATGGAAAATTTACTTCCAAACCAGAGTGGACTTCAAAGTAGATGAGACTGTGTAGCTCCAATACAATGTTCTACCTGTATAAAGTGCTCTGCTGCCCCCGCAGGTTCAGACAGGTCACACATGCTGAGAGTCCATTCTAGCAGCTCTCTATTCAAACCTAGGACATGCGTTTGGGCTCCAAATTCTCCAGGGGCCCCAGACTGTCCAGGAGCCCCAGACTGCTGCTCCAAACCAGGGTTCTGCTGCTGAAACAGGCTCTGTTGGTTCTGGGCACAGTGACAGCACCAAAACTCTTGAGCAGTGCCATGTGTGCTTTCTGTGTTATCTGGAAAGTACAGAGAGACAAGGAAATGTTCCATGTTGGATGAAAATTAAACCAGAAATCTAGAAATATTGAATTATTTTGTTGGCAATTGGGGCCACAACTTCTCTGTTTGATTAGAAGTCCAAGGGCACGATGGATGATGAGAGGTTCACTGTCATAAACTGTTGTTTTTATATAGACAGATATCAGTCTAGTTTCTATGTTTAGTTTCATTTACACATGTCTGGGTAACCCTTTATTTCAAGTTAACAGCTACAGTTTACCTTTTGTTCAGTTAAGATTGACCATGCCTGAAATATTCCAAATGATTCTAGTGAACGTGTATAGAATTTAAAAACACAGCTGAGTATATGATATGACAGTTAGAGCAGTGTCTTCTGTTTGAGAAATGAACTCAGCCTAAATACGCAGGATTTGTGTGCTAAACATGTGTGAATGAAACAAAGCACAACTTCAGCGATGTGTCTGAAACATTAGAATTTACATTACAAATAAGAAAACAGTGTGATAATCACACCCTTAATCATGTCCTGGGCTCGACATTAACGGTTGTCCGCTGGTCCGGGGCAACTAAAACTTTTGTCCGGGCAAGTACTCTCCTCTGCCAGTTGCCGAGCGGGCAAGTGAAAATAAAGCGACACAAATCTAGTCCCCCAGTAATAATAACTATTTATTTGGTTGATAAAACAAAGCGACGGGTTGTCCGTTCATAACGCATTTTTTTCATTTCCGTGAAAGGAACAGATAAGTCCAACCTTTTGGACTGCCACGAAAAACGGCCGCGGTGACAAGTGCTCACTTCATGCGCGCTGCTGTGCGCATCACAGTCAATGTTTTGTCTTTCCCACTGACTGTAGGCATCTTAAATAAAACGGACGTAGTATTACGCTGCCTCCTGCACCACAATCTTTGCCCAGTCAATCAAAAATGTCCCTTAGTGCGGACCGCGCTACTCCACCCTTTTTGTTTTGTCTCTCATTCTACCGTCACATCTCACATATCTAGGCAGCTTCATGACGCGTCGGAATGAAAAGCGAACTCAGGGTTAAACCAAACTCCAAAAATGTGCCATATATTTACCAAGCCTACTCATTAATCTCAGTAATTAGTTAAAATGCATAGGGTATTTTATTATAGCCCGTGCTTTTGGGAATAACATTCACTGGGACGGTACCGGGGCGTCTCCAAGCGATACGTGCGCTCTGTGAGCGGGGCGTGTGTCACCGGAGGACCACGCCGCGTGACATTAAACCTGCTTCTCTACTTCAGTCCTCATGGAGCCCTGTACGTGCACACTCCCACATCGTAATGAGATCCATTCATAGAGAACAGTCCTACCTGTGCGCCTCCAGTGCGTCGCTCCAGTGCCACGCGCGTAAATCCCGTGTTTTCTTAACCTATTACGCAGCGACGAGAAGCGCGAACAAGGACCTAAATTTAAGCAGTCCAAACTAACTCCACAGTAGAGGACCGAGATATGTAGTAGTTTTCTTTATAAGTGCGCAAAGGGTATAGTTACAATTTATGTTTTTATGCAAATTAATGGCCAATATTATTAAGAAAAATACTTTTCAGTCATTGAATAACTTTATATCTATGTTAATTCATATTTTAAAACAGAGTAGGCTACTATACACGGTTCAGGTATAACTCCAAATGCGCACGCAAATAAACGCACAACTGATTGTCACGAAGACTGACCTGCGCTTAAGTTTCGCTTTTGTTTCTCGTTTTCTGCACTTTATATAAAAGGCAGCGCATGGAGCATGTGCTCTTACTTTGATTAATAACTTTACGCTTTTGCTACTCGGAGGAGGACGGAGGAGAATTATGGAGAACTTTAGGCAGATTCGTTTGGATACATCTTTACGCACACGCGCTCCACGCTGGATATATTTACCAATGAGGAGCAGGGTTTTTGCGGAGTTTTGGTTCATATTATGTTTGGCTTAAATGTGACTGGATGTGGATTTATTATTACGCACTTTGGTTTTGAGACACTATAAACGCCCCGCACTGGAGACTGGGTGTTTTCGGGTGGATACAAGTTTCACGCTGCACCTTGTTTCTTCAGCTCTTCTGTTTTACCGGTAAGAGACACACTGCACTTAGTTTGGACATATGTAAGACATGCTCAACATGTTAAACATGAGCGCTGTTTGTGCAGTACATTTGCGCAGAGCGCAGTACTGACGCGTGAACACCTGCACTACTGATAAATTGAAGTGAAATTAAAGTGTGTGTTGGCTTATTGACGCGGGCATTTAATGAAAGGGACCGAAAGTGGGCACCGAGCGAACTTTAGTTTTTTTTTAATACCAGTTTTTTAGTACTTACCAGTACTTACCGGGCCTTTTCGGTCGATGCCTACTTGAAACAGAGTTTCGATACCCAACGCTATCTGCGCAGACTATAGGCTCGTGCAAGTCCAGTTCTATGGTGTACTGGCACTAAAATATTTGGAATGTGAAATGTGCAAGTGAAAGTCAGTTTCTTAACCTGTGGGCGAGGGTCCAAGGGAAGAACTTATAAGGCTATATATTTGTGAAGCTCATGAAGCCAAAATTTACTTTAAACATACAGAAAGTAAATCAGAAGTAATGCAAAGTAGTGTAACTCCATTACATATGAGGGACAATACTGCATTACAAAATGTTACACTGCAAAAGGCAATATGTATCACAGTTTCAGATTAACTTGCTCATTGGTCCCAGCACTGGTCCCAGATGACAGCAACCAGGACTATAGATGTTCTGTCATATTTATCTATAATCACATTAGTTCTAGTTGTCACCTGCCCATATGGGTCTGACAACCTGAGACACGTTGAGGCACTCTTAGATCTCTGAGTGGAAACAAGAGAGAACAATTTAATGAGAAGACCAATGATAATAATTTTCATCTCATATACATACAAATTTGGACACACTTTTTCATTTATGCTTCTTTTTTTCCCTCCATATTTACACTGTGGAGTGTAGTATGAAATGATTTTAACTTGTTTTATATATTTGAGATTCTGCCCCACTCTCTCAAACCATTTAGTCATTGTGGTCATGTTATGTTGGTATTCATATGAAAAAAAAGTTTTTATATGCCTGTGCTAGAGTTCTAGTCAAGACTACATTAATTGAGGCCAAGACCTGTCCGAGACCTCAGGGTCCTGAGACCAGGACAAGACCAAGACCTCTGAGGGTCGAGACCAAGACCACAGCCCATCGAGACCAAATCATGACCATCTTTGTCATTTTTGACATTTATTTGGATTTTACAGTTATTTTGGCACATATATATCAATATTTTTAGAAATCTATCTCCATTTTATCTGATAAATGTTAATTTAAGATTAAATTAAGACAAGCAAACTGTACTGTACTGAACACTGCCCTTTTTTAGACTCTCACCCACAGTTTGAGAACCCTCTCTTTAAGAAAATTTCCATTGGTATTTTACACAAAACTGCTTCAAAGTGAATACAGTGGGTAGGATTTTTAAAACCCGTTTTGTCAAGTTTCTAACTGGAGTTACATTCACTTGCTGGTTTTGCAGTGGGATTTACCACATTTACCAAACGCATGTCGTGACAAACATAGATGCATTTTGAGCACTTTTATTAGGCAACCTTCAACCACATGTAGCAGTAGTGCTGCTTTGTGCCAACAATGTAACATAAATTTGGATTCGTTTTAGTATTATTTTTCTAATCTGTGGGCATTGAAGAGGGAGCCCGTTTGTGCTATATGCAGGGAGGAGCGAGAGCGCGAAAAGAAGGAGCAGATGACGTGAGGCAGATGGGCAGGTAGAATGTTTTAAAAAGTTTAACCTGCCCTGTGATACATTCTGGTACGAGAGGGTACACGCTGTTGCGGACAAGGCACGGGCGCTGGGGGCGCACCACACAAACGCACAGGCTGCAGCGAGACACCCCGCACGCCCCCGCACACCCATACATGTGTATTGCTGAGAGCAGTGGCCGTAATGAAATATGATCGCACCTGTCTAAAGTCAGACCTCGAGTCCGAGACAAGACCGAGTCCAAGCGCCTTCAAGACCGAGTCCAAACGTGGTCGAGTCCGAGACGAGACCAATAACTCGTGTAACCTCGCGAAACCACAGCCGTGCGTCAACGCAAAGGCGGTTCTACCGGCAGCTTGCAGCAGGAAGTACACGCGCAGCTCTGACTCTGTGTTTCTCAATGAGAAAGACGATCAAATTTGACTGGGCGCGTTTAGCCGCTTGTATCAGGTCTACAGTTAAACTAACAGCTGAACACACTTGTATTTACCTTCTGTACAGGCTGACCACGGCAAAAGCCACGATTTTAAAAAGTAAATTTTAAAGCTCTTATTAACAGTCTTTCTGGACCTGGGCTCTTTTACATGACACAGATCTGCCCCAGGAGCACGTTGTCCTGACGGTAAAGGCACAAATACAACCAAAGATTCATGCTCTGTGTATTTTGATGGGGATACGCGTAGAGTGTCAAAAATTAGGATGGGTCAAGTACTTGTAAATGCTTAATGTCAAGCCCTGATGTCTTTAATCACGCTCATCTGATCTCAGGAAGCTGCACCACTGATAAGACACACATCTATGTAAAGTATTAGAGAAGTGTGTCTTTTGGAGACCAGGTAAGATGTGCTGTAAAGCTCCGAGGCGACTTACAAGTGGCAGTGTGTTTGGAGAAACCCACATCTGTGGCACAGCTGTACACCAAGTCTTGGAGTGAAGTTTCACCAGAGAAGTCACATATGTCACACATCTGTAACATGAACATATGAACACTATCATACACTGTGACACAATCACACATGGACACAGTCATACATTGTAACACAATCACACATGAACACTGTCATACACTGTAACACAATCACATACTGTATGTATACTTTAACAGTCAGTTTTTAGAAGTACACAATCATGGGGTAATGAAAGGAGAAGTAGGGTAGGAGGCAAAACAACGGGGGCCTCACTCAATCATTCTTTCTCTTTTTCATTTTTTTCCACAACTTACCCTCATATTTTTCTTTTCTCTTTTATGACTGACCTACTCACACATACACACACACACTTGCCTGAAATGTCTTATGTCTTTTACTGTTTGTATTGTCTCTGTTATCACAATAAACACAAAGTACACATTCATCAATCTTGTAATAAAAGTTCCTGTATTAATGTTCAACAAACAAGTGAGATATTCCGGCAGTCTATCAAGACGTCCCAAATAATACATTTAATACAGTGTTGTTCTGACAACTTGAGTACAGACTTGAGTACAGTACTTTCTTTGACAACTTCAACAGGTCAAAGAAAGTAACGATCCCTAACAATCTACTCAGTTACATTAAAGAGGAGGTAGTTACTAACACATAACATATTTAGATCACCATGTTACCCTTTTATTGTATTGAAAATGTTATATTCATCGAAAATCAACATATTTACCTGTTTTATAAGTTTCACTTTTGTTTTTGATGCTCTGAATCTCCTCTCACTTTTGCTCTCCACTGTCACTCCCCTTTCAGAGCAGTATCACAACACAATCAGAGTGCACCCCGCTAATGAAACTACTGCACATCACATCAGATTTGACAAATTGTTGTGTACAGTTTGTTATCATGTTTTTGAATATTTATGCAGAAATTGTCGTGTTGGAGCATGGATCATATAGGCTTGTGGAGTATTATTTGCATAATACCCCCTCTTTAACATGAGTATTAATGAGTTACTTGCCACTACTGATTATAGGGCAAAGTGTTTTCTGTGTTTTTGGCACAGCTCTTACCTGAATAAGGAAATCTTTGGCAGTCAACAGATCTCTTAGGAGAGCATGGAACTGGTGCAATCCTGGGTCCACACTCAGCTGCCTTTGAGCACTAAGGGTCAGCTCTGTTTGGAAACTGAGGGACTGAGTCTGAGAAAAACGATGAAATGCTACATTAGATTCACATTAAAGCTACAGTATATTTTTTATCTATTAAAATAAAAGCATGTTTTGTTTTGTTTTTTTCTGTTTTGTTTTTCAATTTGGCCTTCTCCTGCTCATTTCCATGGAAATGTTATTCCTTTGGTTATAATATTTTAATGTATGGCATGAAACTTAGATCTAAAGAAAAGGTTCTGAAGTATGCTTTTAACTTTCCATTTCCATTTGTAATTCCAGTAACCTGAGTTGGTAACCTGGTGTAGCAGCATTAAGTGAGTAGGGTTTTGCACATGGAGGTCTGATGTTACTCTATATGCTACATGAGTTTGTACAATATACAGGAATGGCAGGAATGATGGACTTAGATTCAGTTCACAAGCTGTTGACCACAGGCTTATATTTTAGATAGTTGAGCGCAGTTATTTTAATATATCTTGGGATTTTAGGCACTTAAGAAATACAGCTTTGGCAGTTCAAAAGGACAGAAGCTAGGGGTTGTTTGTTTGGTTGAGTTGTTTGTTGTGAACTTAGATTTCCGTCCGGATCAATAAATTCACTAATCTATTAGGCCTGGAGATATATACACAGAAGGAGCTGTGGCATGATCACTCCAGTACTAGCCTCTACTCTAGCTTCAGCAGAAGTCAGTTAATAAGCCCATAACAGTCTCAATCCCACAGGCAATAAACACTTTAGGAGGGATCATTTCTGTTCTGTTTCTGAGTCTTTGCTTCAGTATTGACAAAGCCTCATGTCAAACTTCAGAACTGACTCCAGATGCCTACATTTTCAGAACTTGTTATGGCAGAAGGCGTGGAAGTGAACTGAACAATTCGGCAAAATAATCAAATTGCAACTTTTCTGACAAACACTGCACTTGCGATTCGATTTGCAATTTGTGTTTTAATAAAAGGATTCTGTTCAATGTTCCCATTACAAATGTGTCCAGAAAAATTGTGAAAAAAGACTGAAATAACTGAACTGACAAAACTAATACAAGAATCAGATTTCAAAACATGTTTGCAGATCTAAATAGTTTTTTTATGCAAAATATTTATTTATTTATGCTATTGTATTATTTATGGAGGAATTTATAGTATTTAAAAAAAAATGTAGCCTTAACAATTTGCCAATTGCGTCATTCAAATTATGATTTCGATTCATGTTGCAGCCCTAGCCAGAGTGGGTCACCTGCAGTACATTATAGCTGAAGTGTGCGACATCCTGTTGGATGGATGTGACCATGGTCCCCACAGTCATGTAGTTCACCAGTCGTGCAAAAGAGTCCCATCTGTTCAGGGCGTGTTCAGCTGTGCGTAGCTCCCTCTGCAGCTCATGTTGGTGCCTCTGGTGCAGGTGCAGGGGCCCACAGAAGTGCTTTGCCTCCTGGGACAGTCTGAAGTGACACTGCAGCTGATGGAGTAGCCGGTGGCTCTCCTCCTGTACCTGGACACAGCATAAGTACAAGTTATAGAGGGGGGTACCAGGGAGAACTGTGAAAGGCCCATGTATGTAGAATTATGTCCATTTCCTCACAGCTTCATTGTCACATTGTTAGTACTCATGTTAAGGAGTTTTCATAACACACAGCTTTAGCGGAGCTTTTCAGACAGTACATCTTTTCAGGAGGGTGGAAAAACATTAAACCATTAAACAGCCAGTCAATCATCCCAAAAGTTACTCACATGGGTCTTTCTTACAAGTCAAACGAAAAATAAAGTTGGGTAATTCATCTTTAAAGAGGGGGAGAGTTCAGAAAATCACGAGACTTCATCTTGGCATACAGCAGCAGAGCTTTGTGCGTTTTGTGCATTTGTAGACAGGAAACATGTCTGTGCTTTGATTTTCAAACCAACAAAAGGTAACATGGTGATCTGAATATGTATTAATGATGAATAGCCCATAGAAGTGCAATACCCCCTCTTTAAGGACAAAAATGTGTTCATGTAGTACAAGTAGAAGCAAAAATGAATGTGTGAATATGGGCAGTTTGGAATGTGATATGACATGAGCCAAACATAAGAGGAGATTTTTTTGTACCCTTTGAAGAACATTCCTGCAGTACTGGGAAAAGAGCCCTAGATTACACTGGAAGTGTTTCCTCTGATTCTGTAGAGCGTCACAGAGTTCCATCAGTTTATATGAGCCAGACTGTGGCAGCCAGGGAGAGGACCAGACCTCCTGCTGGGTCCTGCAGTCACATAACAAAAATATTTAGAGATGTTTTACAGAAATGCTTATATGCTTTGGGTATGCTGGGTGCTGGAGCTTTAAACCATTTTATAATGGTGTTCCCTCATTAGCTTAATCAAAGTTGTATTTAGATGCAGTAATGCTAATTATCCTGAAAACTTGAAATAATAATCCTATATCATCTATACCTATCACCTATTCCACCCACAGCCCTGAAGTGATATATTTCTTGGATGTCATTCACAGAAGGCTGGAGGGGAAAAAATCTAGATGCTACTATCAAGACATGGGGCCAGCAGCAAAGAATCAACTTTAAAACAAAATCAGTTCACCTATTAAAGCTCTATATGTTTTTCTGGTGTAGTGTCTGCTAGTTTTAATGGAGAGACAGATATTATTTAGCTTGGCATACTAATTAAATAAATGTAACAGGCAGATGTGTTTAATAATCCAGATGTATGTCAGAAGCTGTTGGCGTGACTGACCTGGCTAACCCAAACAGTGCTGCTCTGTAGAGGGCACTGTCTGTGAGCAAGAGGCTCTGCAGCTGCTCACAGCGCCGGCGGAAGAGGCAGTGACGGACATGAAGTCTCCACCTGTCACACACAACACTGTAAGCCAAACTAACCCAGGACTAAACCAAGAAAGCCAGAACTTAAGCCTTATTCCCACCAGCCCTACTCTACTCGGCCCTACTAAGGCTAGTAGTGTTTCCATTATACCAGTGTACAACAGATTTAGTACCTGCTTCAAAGAGGTTAATTTTGTTCTTCCAATATTATTTCATTTTTTTCTTTATTCTTTATTTTTATTTTATGGTGGATGGCAGATGGCGCTATTCCCCTTCCAATGCAGGAGAATGGAGCTAAATTCTGTGTAAATCAGGTGCAAGACTCATCACCATAACATCACATGACCCTTGTGAAGAAGAATGTAGAAGGCATCCCAATGTGAGGGTATGTGTAAACACACTAGTCTGTAAAAAGAGCCTTTATTTAGATTTAGTACCTGCATCGGGGCTGGTGGAAAGTCTCTAAACTGAGGTAAAGTAGAGAAGGGCCAAGCAGGGCTGGTAGAAACGTGACTTAACTCAGATCTACATGTGTAAAGGTCTAAACTAGGACTAAACTAGTGCTAAACAAGGTTTAAACTAGGTCTAGACCAGAACTAAAGTAGGTCTAAACCATGTTTAAAGTATGTCTAGAACAGGATTCAACTCTGTCAAAAAACGGTGCTAAACCAGTTCTACACCAGGTCTAAACCAGATGTAAAGGCCTGTTTCCACTAGCCCCACTTGCCCCAACTCTACTGGCCGGGTTGTGTTTCCATTACTCTTTAGAATCTGATAACAGATTTAGTACCTGCTTGGCCTGGTTACAACCAGTGTTCAAGTGGAAATGCCCCAAACCAGGGACAATGGAAATTAGAATTAAGCAGGTCTCAACCAGGACTAAACCAGGATTAAATCAGGTCTAAACCATGGCTTAAGTAGCTCCTAGCACTCCTCACCAGCAGAAAGCCTTTCTGAGTTTGAAGAGCCTGAAAAAGGGCATTTTGTGCAGGGCGTGCCAGTAGACGGCCTCCCTGTACCACTGCGCCAGGCTGGTCATCCCACCGTATCCGCTCGGGGTCATGTGGAACACGCCGCTGCGGCAGAAGACATAGTGCTCTGACCTGGCCTTAGAGGGAGCCACCACATGCAGGTCGTACGGTCTGAAAAGATCCAAAACAGAGCTTTTAGGACCAGTTAAAAAACGTGAAATACAGAACAAGCCCATTTTAAACAGTTTGCAGAGGTCCAAAGTTATTCCTCACTTACCTTGTGCATGAGGATCCTAATCATTCACTGCAATGAGTTTATACACAAATTTCAGAGAAAGAAAAGCTAAGAAATGTATGAAAGTTCTAAAACACAATACCTTTACCTATGTCATTAACAAATAAGGAACACATTTTTCTGTAAGTTTAAACTAAATATTAACAAAATAAAATGTGTAACTATTTTTAGCAGTTTAACCAAAACCACTAAGACATGTGGTTGCTAGGTAACAGTTATGGGATTATTTTACGAAGGTCACATTTACTGTCCATGTCCAAACTGTCATATACACTCATATACCTGATTTAGACAAGACTCAAACTCTTTAATCACTAACTATAATGTTCTACCTGTGGACAGGCCCTGGCTCTTCTTGCAGGTAGAATATTTGGGGGCCCCTGTGGTGTGCTCCTGAAGTGCTGAGCAGGTACAGGACCTCCTCCACATTCACTGGACCCCTGGGGACCCTGGCCTTTCTGAATCTCACCGGGCCCCTCCGAGTCTGGTTCTCACCAGGCTGCTCCACCTGCTCCGGCTCTGGAACACTGGAACAATCACATGAAATGACTAGAGGAGTCGTCCGCAGGGTAACTTATAATAACCAATAACCAGTTCTGACTGTAATATTTAAACTCAAAAAAGCAAATAAGGAGTTAGAGCTTTTCATTATCATTTTCTCTTAAACACTTAAATGAGGGGATATTATGCAAAATCAATCTAACATGTTACAATGTTGTTCCCTCATCAAAAAACGTGCCTGAAGAAGTTTTAGATCCATCCATGCATGTTTGAATATTTTAGAGATCTCTCCTGAGCCATATTCAAACTCTCCTTATGGTTAGTATAAGACTCAGTTCACAAGCCAGTGTCAACCATGCGCCCACACGACACTTCTCTATAAATACAAAAACATGATACAAAACTGCACACAGCAACTTGATATAATGTGAAGTAGTCTCATCACTAGAGTAGACTGAGGAGAGTTTTAGAAGGAGCAGGCCACAGCTGCAGCCTGTGACCACTGAGGGGGACACTGTGGAGATTAAAGAGTTAGAAAGATTTGGGTTTATATCTCGACCACAGACTGGACTGGTCGAAGAATACAACTCTGCTCTAAGAAAGGGACAGAGCAGGCTGTACTTTCTCAGAAGACTGAAGTCTTTTCAAATCTGCCAGAAGGTCCTGCTGATATCCTACCATACAGTGGAGGTGGAGATGACTCTCCAGTGTCCTCTTCAACACTGTGATCTGCTGGGGAGGAAGCCTCAAGAAGAAGGACACGGTGCAGTTGGATAAACTGGTGAGGAAGGTAGAATCTGTAGTGGGTGACTAGACTCATTCACATCTGAGGCTGAGAAGAGGGTCCTAAACAAGGTCCTGTCCATCCTGGATAACCCCCAGCACCACCTGCCTAGCACCATCACCGGACAGGAGAAGACCTTTGGGGACAGGCTGGTGTCCCTGTCTTACTCCACAGACACACTCTGCAAGTCATCTCTCCCACATGCCAAACTTTTTTATAGACTACAGCTCATCATTATAGCTGATGGATTCAAGATCTGTCTATCTCTTACAGCTAAGCATTAAGGAGGGTTCAAATAAGGCTTGGGAGAGATCACTAGATTACTCAAACATGCATGAATAACATATATTTTTTTAAAAACTAAACAAAAAAAACTTCTCATCATATTTTTGATGAAGGTACAAAATTATAACACGGTAGAACGCTCCAAATGGCGATTTAGCACAATACCCTCTTGAACAAACCCACATGGAAGTTTCCAGACTAACCGCTTACCTGCGCTGTATGACGGGGAGCTCTGTGCCCAGGGCGGACGCTACCAGCTGAGGTCCCTGCGTCCATTTGGACCCGTGGAGCGCTCTCCGGTGCCCCACCTGAGCGATGAGGCGGGGCAGCCGTACTCCCGCCACAGCAGAGAGGCAGCTGTGCTCCCTCGAGGACAGCTGAAGGCTGAAGGCGGGGAGAGTCACCAGGCTGAAGGGCCGCGGGCCCGGCGGGTGCCGCGCCTGGGAGTGCGTCTGTGGCGGTTTCTTTGGTTCCACTGAAGGCATTCTCACATAGACCTGCTCCGGTCAACTGACACGCGTCACAGCCGCATTTTTAGACGAACCGACCAGCCCCAAACGCACTTTTACACTTCTGAATGTAACTAATGTCCATAAGAAACAAACTTTCTCACCATGTGAAATGGTAACTGAAAAATCACGGTCCGTGTACTACAGCGTAACACAGCGATCGCTGCCATGGTAACCAACACGCCCCGCCCACATGTCTGAAGTGCTCGCGGGCAGGGGTCACGAGCTTTTTTAATGTAACCGAGTAGAAGGCATCCAATGAAAACAAATGCTTTTATAAGGTTTAAAAATGAACACATAGTGGACAAAACTAGTCTTATATTTATTTTGATTATCTCGACAATTTTCCAACAGGAAGTAACAGGATAGGCGCCGAACTGATTGATAATCGTGCGTCGGGCCGAGCTCAACAGATTAGAGCTAACATTCATACATTTCTGGCCTCCTCGACCCCTGCCCCCATCACAGTCAGGAGCGATAATGTGGCCCGCAGAGAAGAAAGTATGGTGACCCCTGTTATAGGGGATTGCAGGGTCACTTTGGTCAGAACCAGCACCAGAAGAAAGACCTGTGTCTCCTCTCTCCTCCCTGTGTCTCCTCTCTCCTCCCTGTGTCTCCGCTCTCCTCCCTGTGTCTCCGCTCTCCTCCCTGTGTCTCCGCTCTCCTCCCTGTGTCTCCTCTCTCCTCCCTGTGTCTCCTCTCTCCTCCCTGTGTCTCCTCTCTCCTCCCTGTGTCTCCTCTCTCTTCCCTGTGTCTCCTCGATCTACTGTTTACAGAAAGGTATGAAACTGCATTTGTATAGGAAAAAATGCACATTAAACTCGTGATTCACTTCCAGATCTTCAGCTGCACCTGTACTGTTGTTGCTTCTGTTGTTACAAATACATTCTTCAAATCTAAATGCAGTCACTTGTCAACTAATACAAATCTTGTTTGACTCAGACTCCACTGACCAATTCATTAACTCAGCGACTAAAGAACTACGGCCCTTTAAGTTGTGTTTTGTTTCATTCATGCATTCACACAAACCCTGCATATTTAGACTGAGTTCTTCTCTCAGAAATCCCTCTGTTCCACCTTGTGATGTCATGTAGCAATACAGGATATGCATATATATTGTGTGACTGATTGAGATTTAATCCTGTCTGTCCCATGATACCATGCAGCTTAAAAAAAAATAAAAATCTATGGCAATGGTCCACACTTTTCCTCATTCTGAAACTCATGTAACATTGACCATAAAGACAATAAGACAGTGGATTCTCATGATATTTGTGAGTGATACACTTATTAGTGCTATAAAAACACAGAGAGGCGAGAGTGGACTCGAGTGTGGGAGTTTATTGTCCATAGGTCAGGTACAACAGAGTGCCTATAACCAAAGCAGAGAAGGCTGGTCCCTGTACAGTAAATAATGTGTACAAAGTGTAGGAAAAGAGAGAGCTGTGTGTCCCGCACACACTCACGGACAGAAGACAGGAGACAGAGGAGACAGAGGAGACAGAGGAGACAGAAGGGAGGTAGAGGACAGGCAACAGGGACAGAAAGGACAGGGGAGGCAGAGAATAGGGAAACAGGGAGAGACGAGTTCCAAAAGAACGGACAGAGAAGGACAGGTATAGAGGAGGCAGAGACAGATGAGGTCCCAAAGAGGGGATGGGGACACAGAAGACAGGGAGAGCAGAGTGCAGGGACAAATGAGGTCAGGACAGACAAGATCCAAAAGAGGGGAGGTGGGAAAAGGATGAAGAGGACAGGGACAAATGAGACGGGGGACCAGGTCAAAAGCAGACCAGGGATAAAACAGTGAATACAAAGAAAGGTAGGGAGGACAGCAGACAGAGGGGGACAGAGGTGACCAGAGAAGGGGTGAGAGTATGGAGCACAGGACAGAGGACATGGAGAGGGATAGGGGACACAAGCAGGACACAGGGGACAGGAAGAGACAGGACAGAAGACGGGGCAGGGGACAGAGGAGACCCTGCTGACCATAAAAAACATGTTGAAAGTTTTGCTGGTAACACAGTAAACCCCCAGTCTGTTCAGAACGACCATGTCATAGGTGAACAACATTGTGAAACAGTGATTCATTAAAGGCCCTCTACCTGACTTGTTTCCATGTATTTGAGCAAAATGTGTCCTGCCCCAGTACAGATATATTATATAAACATCTCTTGAGGTCAGAATAAGTCTGCTGTGTAATGTCTGCAACAAATATATAAATTATATTGTCAAAGGATCAGGAAGTGTTAGTTGTTGTTGCTAGTTGTCACAACTAACATGCACGACTCCAGTTAGAGAGTTGTGAAAAGCTCTTAGAAACTCATCGTGGTGAATAATTAGAATGCCCAGATTGCTTATAGCAAAAAATGAGTCATGTTGGACCACTGCTAACAATTTCAAATGAACTAGTTCTGTTTTTCATATTTTTTTAAGATCCAAAACATCAGATACAGCCCCTTTAACACTACATGTACATTGAGAATACAGAAAAAAAAAAACACTTAAAGGGTAACATCAATGTAAAGACATGAGGGCACATCACCTGCTTGTCTCCATGGAGACAAGCAGCAATTGTGCAGCAATGTGTCCTTAAATGGTTTGTATTTCATTCAAAATAAAATGTAAAAGTATAAAGATGAATCCATTTCCAATTTTAAACCATTGCCTCTTGCCACGTCTCTGTAAGCTATTCCACTGTGATGAACTACAGTCTTTTAAAATAAGTAGGTTTGGATGTGAAAAACAAGACTCCAAGTAAAGTCAACAAAAAAAAAAGACTCCAAGTAAAGTCAACAAGGATTCCAGAAAAAGGTCTCATGCAGTCAACACAATTATTGGGCTAACCATTTAAGAGAAAAATGCTATATTTAAGAACTATTATGAATGTTTGTTTAAGTCACTGAAAGTGAAATTGTTATTCATAAAACTAGGTCAACATTAAACTTTAAAGAACATATTTCGTGCATTATTTTCATTTTAATTCCCTTTTAAACATATTTTTGATTATATTTGGATAAGTGTTTCACATTTTCTAATGTAAATAATGTCTTCACCTCCATTCCCATATAGACATTTAGGCATTTAGGTGCTTGATCTCCCTCTACCATCAGCAATGGCAATTAACGATAGGAAAATAGAAAATAGCACTTTGAAAACGTGAATGCTATACTAGAACCATGTGTTTGTTATAGACACAGTTTGACCACAGAATGAGTCCGGTGAGGGTTTGCGAGCTTAAAAACTAAGAAGTCCAGAGTTTCATTTATGATGCCAAATGTGAACAGAGCATTTTTCGTGCTCAGTGAAGCTGTGTAGCACAAGGTTTTTGGAAGTACAATATAAACCCAGCTGGAAACAGCCCTAGTGTTGTTTGTGAGAAGGGCACAAGAACATGGTTAAAAGGTCAAAAAAGTAAATTTTGCATAATATGTGTTCTTTAAAGCCTCACTGCGTAATATTTTAGCTGACAGAACTCAGGATTGCACGTCATAAACTTGGGGCCTAACACCATAGAAATACTGTAGCAAATCAATGTGAAAAAGTTATGTTCTAGAGTTATGAATCTAGAATTTAGAATCTTAAAATCAGAATAACAAACTAAAAGAAAATAATTTCATTATAGGCATTAGTATTGTTCAAAAATGTCTTCAAAACATGCTTGCTTATTGTGAGCTTGCCTCTCCACAAATCTGATTCTGAACTTGGATATGTGGTCACTTTTCCTGGAATGTTTCACAGTAGGGCTTTAACTACTTTACCTCTACAGAGAGCTGAAATATTACACCCTGGGGCACTAACCAAGACGAAACCAGGTCCAAAACAATGTGAACATTTCTATAAATTCAGAAGATCATGACTAAAAAGGAACTTCAAGTGACAACAGATTTTTATTTAAAATTCTATGAAAAAAAGAATCTGTGAAATAATTTTGTGATCAGTTGTGCAGCACTAAGTATGGGGTCTGTCTTGACACCACGTTCAACTGTCCTCTGGTACCATGGGCGTTCCCGATACTAGATACGGCATGTCCTCCGCTCTTTGGGTTTTATAAGGTAGCAACCGAGATGCTAGGAGGTCCATGTGTGCTGCCTCAGCCTGTGCCGGGGGGCATCAGGAGCACTTCCACACACACACAGCCAGACTGCCTCCAAAGAACATGTACAGCAGGTTCTTCACCTCGTGGGTCACCTCAAAGCCGAAGCCCTCACCAATGACCACGTGCCACGAGCTGCCAAATTTTTTGTCCATGGACTCTTTGATCATCTTTGCAGCGCTCTGGACAGAAACAACAACAGCAACAATGTGTAACCCCTCAGGCATCCAGGTAGGACACATAGCAGCTGGACAAAAGTTTTTTTGAGTGAATTTTGCAGCTCATCTAAGCTGCTTCTTCATGTCTGATCGAATTGCCAGGGAACACTGCCTTTGTCCAGTTGACCAAATTTAATTTTTCTTTTACAACAGCAACAATGTGTAATCAAAACAATAGGTACAGTAACATGTTCAGTAAAAACAGATACCAAAAATCAGATGCAATATTTGGGTTGTGTGTTTATATTATATGCAGAAAAGAAATCTTACATGTCCACAAACCTATTACTTGGCTTAGGCTGCTAAACCTGCCCTTTTCCATGGAAGGATCAGTCAATGGGGGAAAAAAAAAAGTTTACAGTTCCCTCTTTTTTTTTAGCAGAAACACATCTTGTGTTTAAAGAGGGTTGCAGTTATTTAAAACCAACAAGTTTATAAGTGTGACAGGAAGTGTACAAGTGTGAGGTAAGACACTAGGCTAAGCTAGGCTTAGCAGAGACTGGCAGAGAGATATAGATATGTTGACAATACTATGTTATGTTAGATTATTATGACATTATTTATCAATTTGTGATTAAACTTACATTTTGAAAGGTAACTGTATCTTGTTTGATGAATAAGGGGGAAAAAACAAAGCTAGAAATGAGTTGGGTCAGTCCAGTTGGACCCGGAAGTGACATCCCTTAAAAGTACATTTAACACATTCATATATTTTTCCAATTAGGACTTGGTTTGGTGGGATAGTATTTGGCAAATGTTATCATAGCTTTACATCAGTTAAGTGGCAGTTTGTGAAGAAAAGAAGAAAACAAAAAATTGTAAGATACAGGAAGTAGCATGAATTCTAAAAGTTGTAGGATCCATCACAAAAGAGAAATCCAATTCTGTACTGTCAACTGGACAATGTTTTTTGAATGAATATTTTTCGCAGCTCATCCAAGCTGCTTCTTCAGTTCTGGTCAGACGTTGGTGGAAACTGCCTTATATCTGCCTGAAGGAAGGAGCTAACTACACTGAAACTAGTGTGAAACTAATCCACCTACTTGTTTACAGTTTCTGTTTGTTAGCTAGGTCTATTGAACTGCACTAAGTGTGAACTGTGCCTTTTTCATATTAGCAGTATCATTCCACTATTTTGTCCGTAAATCAATTCCTATTCCTAATATGGAACTCGGCTCCAAATTCACTCCTATAACTGCAAGCCTCTATGAGTCATGATTTGACTGGAGCCGAACCCTGTGGGTGACGACACACTCCCTTTGTCCATTTCAAAACAGTCTATGGCCAAATCTGTTTGGTAATTGTGGTTTAAGCCCCTGTGTGCTGCACATGCCCAAGTAAAATTATTAAACAAAATCATGAAACTAGAATAAAACAGGCAAGATTATTAGTTAAATCTATATAATGATGTTAAAGGGCACATATTAGGCTATTTTCGGATCTATGTTATAATATTGTTTCCTCACCACAAACATACCAGGAGTTGTGTTTTGTTTCATTCACACATGTTTAACACACAAGCCTTGCATTCAGGCTGAGTTCTCTTAAAATGAAAAAAAAAAAAACACTGTTCCACCTTGTGATGTCATGTGTCAATACAAGAAGTGCTCCATTGTGTTTTTAACCTCCATAGACATTCTCTAGAATCATTTGGATAATTTCAGCACTGGTATTGCAAATTTCTAACAAACTTATTAGAAGTTGTGGTTCACTTGAAAACTGCTGCTTCATGACATCATAAGGTGGAACAGAGCATTTTGAGCTTTGGGGGATGTAGACAGACTAATAATAAAGGGTTACTCAAACATGTGTGAATGAAACAAAACATAACTCAGTGTATGTTTTTTGAGAAGGTAAAAACAACATTAAAGTTCACAAGAGTCAATTTTGTGTAATATAGGATCTTTGACTATGTTTTAGAGAAATTAGTACTGTATGTGCAATCTAGTCTTCATATGCACTTATCAATCGCATAAAACATACAGTATTTATCTCCAAGGAGAATGTTCCAGGGGTATGATTTAAATTTCTATTTCAATAGAATCATGCAGGAGACAATAGGTAATAAGCCACCTACAGAAAGTTCCATATTGTGCCTTTAAGGTCAACCATGGAAGGGACTACGGAACATGCAAGTGCTCCTCTCAAATGTCCACACGCAAGGAGAAGTATCTGATACCCACCTCATTGTTAGTAGCAAACTTTTCACAGGCTGTCACACATAGCTCCATCGTCTCCACCCGCATCTCCTCTGGCATGTCTGTGTGCTGTGGGGCAAGAAGGGCACAGACTTAGACAAACTTGATTGATCCACTACTTATTATTAAATTATTTGGAAACAGTAGCTTGCGAATATATATAATAACATAATATACTGTAATAACATGGAGCAAAAATATAAATGGTAATAATATATTCAAAAGTAGTAAGTAGCAAACATAGCAAGAGACTGGCCTCAAATAAGGCATAATTACACCGATGTATTTAAGTAAATAAAATATAGAAATACTGTAATACAAATCTGGGCTATATACAAGAGGTACATAAAGAGAAACACTTCAAAGATGAAATAGTAATTGACATGACTATTACAATGTGATGAGATTCAGACCTGATCTATAAAAAATAATTGTGCCGTTTAAGTTCACAAGTTTGATTTTCTTTAATATTTTTGCTGTCATTTCAGAACTACATCTTAACAAAAAGCTTTAACTCACCTTTTTTGAAGGTACAAAATATTTTACAATTTTATCTTGTGAGATCTTGTTGCATCCCTTAAATAGTTTGGATGTTTACATTTACATCATTAATGGATTTCAGAATGACATATTTGGCCCCTTACCATAACAATTAACAATTTAAAACAAAATATCTTTTGAACAATCTTCATGCATTCAAATGTTTCCTATAACAGCAAGGTGTTAGATTTTTTTATATATTTTAATTTATCCATTCGAACGTGTATATGAATTCTGTGCACTCTGGGCTTCTTACACTTTTTTTTCCAATGTGGATTTATACTGCAAATGGCAAATAAACTGAACTGAACTGAACTGAAAAAGGTCAGTGCGACAAGTGAATCTATGGGCTGGTGCCAGCTGGCTTTATACTGTAATTGCTTTGCTCTACATGGGTTAGGGTTAGGGTTATTGACAGCAATGCACTGAACTTGGCTATCTCCATGAAGACCTAGAGACACCAACAGGTCAAATTACTGGTAAGATCTGTTTATTGTTGTTTAGGTATTTTTGGCAATTCAAAACATTTTAATGAATGAATGTAAGATAGATTAAAATTAAGTTAAATTCGATACAGTGGATATTTTAGCAAAAACATTGTCATGGAGACAAACTGGTGAGTCAATGGCAATGTGAACCTTGTGAACAGTACAAACCAGATCTCCTGTTGTTGTTCATGTGTTATAATGTTGTTAACTCACCAAAAACATACTTGGAGTTGTGTTTGTTTCATTCTAACTTGTTTGATTAATACTGCATTATTAGTGTGTCTACTTCTGCAAAGCTCAAAATGCCCTGTTTCACCTTGTGATGTCATATGGTAGTTTTCAAGTTAACAGCTCTTTGCCTTTTTTCAGGAGTGATTCTCAGTTCCAGGTCTGAAATCATCCAAATGATTCTAGCGAAGGTGTATGGAGTTTAATAGCACAGTGGAGCGCGTCCTGTATTACCACATGACATCACAAGGTGAAACAGAGTGTTTTCAGCCTAAATATGCAGGTTTGTGTGTTAAACATGTATGAATGAAACAAAACACAACTCCAGGTCCGTTTGTGATGCGGAAACAACATTATACCAGAAATCAGAAAATAGCATAATATGGACCCTTTAAAGTCTAACTTGAGTAATTGAGTTTAAAACAGAGCAGTGTATCCAGTTAGTTCCAGACTTCATGTGAAAAGTATCAGTATGAGGTGATTTTCTCTGTAGATAACCGACCCTGATCAGAGGGAAGTTGTGCAGCCTCTTGTAGTCAGCCTCTTCCTTCTTCCCCTCGGTGGTCGCTGCCATCACCAGTTCTACAAAGACATCAAGAGTTAAGATGCACTATACATATAACATAAGAGGCTGTACTTATAGCTCAGATTATTGGAAGTATTTCTGTAATTACAATGCCTAATTATATTAACAAGGTCTGGCACAAAAGTGAGACTTTTATCACCTTTTATTAATACAGTTATTGTGAGAAGATTCATCATAATGATTATTGATACCCTACCACAAACTAATAAACTAATAGTGACCAGACATGAACAGAAACCACTGGATGGCAAAAAAAAAAAAGTTTCTATTATTAGAAAAAGTCCCAAGGGCTACTGTGGCAGCCTAAGGGCACCTGGGGCACCACATCATTGGTGAAATCTGGAAACGTTCTTCAGGTAATGGAAAAAAAATTATTTGCAGACTAGGGGTATGCAAAAATATTGAAATACTGATATATCGTATACTTTAATGATGATAGAGTATCGATATGGTGGGCTGATATATCACCAAGAGTATTTTTTGGTATATTTCACTAAATTATTTTGTTACAGCTACAGTTTTGTTGTTTGTTTAGGGGAAGGAAACTCGTTTAAGCGACACATTTGACATTTCATTGTTTTGATGATTAAAATGAGTGCATTTCATTTTAACTTTGCACAAGAAGAGGTTTAACAAAGCCTTTTTTTTATCACAGCCATTTAGCCTTTATTTTTTTGTTGAACCATATCGACCCGAATTGAAATACATCGTATTGAATCGTATCGAATTAAAAGCTCACTTTATTGAGATATTGTGGTCTATGGATCAAGGTATTTATTTACATCTTCTGAATGATACCCAGCCCTACAACAGACCTGTGGCAGCTTTCTGTGGGTCCTGGGGTCAGAGAATCCGTGTATCATTCATTCATTCATTTTTCAATATAAAATCAAAAATAAGAAAATGAAAAAACAACAGTTTTCTTCATTATTTGTCTCCAAAACCAAAACGAAAAAACGGATAACGATTCGTTTTTTCAGTTTTCGATTTTGTGTTTAAATGAAGAATGGAAAAAACGGATAACGAGCTTTACTTCTGTGACTGCGATGCCGGACTTTTGCACCGCGTACGGACTGAACCAGGACTGATCCAGGTGCGATCCAGGTCCGGGACCAGACCGGGACCAGAGCCGAACTGAGACCGGGACCAGACCGGGACCAGGGCGGACTCCAAGCTTTGACTCCGAGCCTCAGCTTCGAGCTCCGGCCCTGCTGTGGGCTCTGAGCCTCCGGTCTGGTCCCGGTCTGGTCCTGGTCTTGTCTCGGTCTCAGGCTCACTCTGGTCCCGGTCTTGTCTCGGTCTCAGGCCCGCTCTGGTCCCGGTCTGGTCCCGGACCTCGTCCATTTGAACCAAAAGCTCTTAGTTCGGTTCGTTTTCGTTGGTGTGAAAGCGTCAATTGGATGCTTTGCACCACCTCGGAACCAGCCGTGGTTCTTGAGCACGGAGGACAGGAGCAGCCCATCCGGACCTGCAGTCCACAGCGCATTCTCACTTTCCCCGCACGGAACCAGTGCGCAGACGCATGACATGGAACCGCTCGGACCGCTGGTCTCGGTCTCATTTCCGCTCTGGTCCCGGTCTGGTCCCAGTCTTGTCCCGGTCTTAGTCCCAGTTTTGTCCCGGTCTCAGTCCCAGTCTTGTCCCGGTCTCAGTCCCGGTCTCAGTCCCAATCTTGTCCTGGTCTCAGTCCCAGTCTTGTCCCGGTCTCAGTCCCAGTCTTGTCCCGGTCTCAGTCCCAGTCTTGTCCCGGTCTCAGTCCCAGTCTTGTCCCGGTCTCAGTCCCAGTCTTGTCCCGGTCTCAGTCCCACTCTGGTCCCGGTCTCAGTCCCACTCTGGTCCCGGTCTCAGTCCCACTCTGGTCCCGGTCTGGTCCAGGTCTGTCCCGGTCTCAGTCCCGGTCTGAGTCTTGCTCTGGTCCCGGTCTGGTCCCGGACCTGGATCAGTCCTGGTTCAGTCTGTATGTGGTGCAAAAGTCCGGCATCGCAGTCATGGAAGTCACGTAAATTGGAAACGGCCGTTATCCGTTTTTTCCATTCTTCATTTAAACAAAAAATCAAAAACTGAAAAAACTAATCGTTATCCGTTTTTTTTATTTTGGTTTTGGAGACAAATAATGAAGAAAACTGTTGTTTTTTCATTTTCTTATTTTTGGTTTTATATTGAAAAACGAATGAACGAATGATACATGGATTTCAGAGCTTTGTGATGCTCTTGGAGGCCATTATAAACAGATATGTTAAGATCCAGAATGCATGTGCTATGTACTGACGGACAGACAGTAGAATTCCAGCCTCTGCTAATGCCAATTTTAATTTGCCCAAAGGTCTAGTCTGGTACCTCTAAATCTAATTATTTTTACCATTAATATTTTGAGCTGAAAATAACATATTAGAAAAGCTTGTGCATTTACAGATATTTGTACAGTTTCTGCAAAAATCTACCTTCAGGACCTCAAACCTGGGATCAGCATGTGTGGAGTTTTTTGTTAGTTAGTCACGTACAAAAATAGAGCCTCTTCTATGGTGTGCTACTCTGCACCCAGCTGATCAGAGATTCTAGAACATGAACTAGAACATTATGTGGCAAATACCAACAGCAACGTTCGCCTCATCATCATCATCATCTATTAGATCTAAATCTGACTGGCTAAATAAAGAAACCACCAACCAGATCGTCCCTCTCAAAGCCACTCTAAAGTATACTGCACATAAACGCGTGAGAAAAGGTGTCTGAAAAGTGTACCATAATGTCCCATTCAGGCACTCGTTAGCTTTAGCACTTAGCGCGTTGTCACTACTGACCGTCCTCTTGTCCAAACGCGCTCCTTCAAAGCCTGCTGTCTTCACTCTGGCCCCCTCTTCGTCCCCACAGACCCGCAGACTGGACCGGGAGCTGCTTTTGCACACAGGACCCTCGGATCAGCGGTCGTTAAGGAGTCATTTGTACACAAACCCTCACAACAACACACAGGACTACACTTCCGCATCCGGGTCTCCTTCTGCACTGGGCCGGAAGACGCGCTACTGCCGCCTGCCAACTGTGGAGCACAAATATAGGAAAATGTAAATTTTTTGTTTTGTTTAGTTTTGTTTTGTTTTTTTATTCCATATTAGTGTCAAACAAAAAGACCTCTATTTCCAGTACTTTATTTAAAGTTTATTTCAAATAACACCAATCAAAAACAGTCTCGGTGCCTATTTGGATTTTGATATTATATTCTCTCTCTGTGCCTCTGTGTTTTTCAATAACATATACAGTGTTGGGAAGGTTGCTTTTAAAATGTATTCCCCTACAGATTACAGATTACATACCCCAAAATGTAGTTTGTAACGAAATCCATTAAGTTACTTAAGGTAACGCAATCTGAATACTTTGGATTACTTGATTTGCTGTAGAGAAACAAAGACGAGGAAATCATAACATAAGAAGTTTTGTCTGATAAAAGTAAATGAAAAGCATAGACTTTACTTAACCAAATTAAAAAATATTATTGATAGAAGAGGAGGAAATACTGTCCGCACGGCATGGTTTAGTCTTGTTTTAGTCCTGGTTTAGATCTGGTTCAGACCTAGTTTAGACCTAGTTTGGACCTGGTTTAGACCTGGTTTTAGTCTAGGTTTAGTCCTGGTTTAGATTTGGTTTAGACCTAGTTTAGACCTATGAATGAACCAATGAATGTAGTCCGAAATGTGAAAACAGGCAAATACCTCTGTGTAATCCATTTATTTCAACAAAGTAACTGTAATCCAATTACCGCTCACTGAAACAGTAACTGTAACTGAATACAGTTACTCATAATTTGTACTCTGATTACGTAACTCTGGTACATGTAATCTGTTACTCCCCAACATTGAACATTTATTGCGAGTTGTGTGTGTTCAGTTTCCTTCTTTCTGTCTTAAGTCTATGGAGTTTGGTAAGAGAGTGCAAGAGAGGTACAGTTGCAATGTGTGTTTAGGTTTTTGTTTGTTTGTTTGTTTTTGTTTTCATTAGTTTCAGCACAGTTTTTAAAGCTTGGTTTAGTTTGATCGTTCAATTCAAATATGCATCTGAAGAGGGACTCAGGTGGTCACGTCTGTTGAACTATTTCTCATCATTTCATGCAGTTCTCAGGCTCTTTTTTGGTACAGCTTTTATTCACAAACATAGTCTATGTATTCCGTTTTTTGTTTTTTTTTCCAATACTACTTGTTCCCATGTGGTAAAGGATGTTGCCCCAAACACCATCACTTTCCATATAGAAATTAAAACATAATGACAAAATATTAACATCAATCATCAATCAATCATTAACATCATCAACATCAATACACATCAAAAATCTAACAACAAAGGATTTCACACATGAGTCAAACAAAGAGAAGGGGCTCAGCAGTGAGTACAGACTCACACACAGATGTATAGATTACATACAGGTATACACACTGTGAGCACATTACATTACAGTAAAAAAGTAGTGTGATGTATCTTTCAGTTTTCTTCAGCATAAATATTTTTGATTAAATACTGCAGAAAGGTTTTAGACAAAAATTAAAGTCCAAAATTCACCTCTGTAAAGTATGAACTCCAGTGTGAGACTTGCACTAAACCAGTGCTTCTCTGTGATCTCTGAAAGCAGAACTGAGGCTCTGAGCTACTGAATGAAAGAGCACAGAAAAACACATGACCAAGGTTTTAATGGTAAAACTTGCTTTTGGGAGGTGATTCATCTGTTTTAAATGTGAAACAGCTTTTTGTTGAGATTAAAATTGAGGAAAAAAATACATGTGCTAAAAGCAATTAAAAACAAAAAACAAAAAACAGTTGATTGTTCAGTCATTTCTGCTGAGACCCTTCTCTCTGTTTGACACAGGTGTGAAATATCTTACTGTTTAATTTTGGGTGTTTTGCCATTATGGTTGAATTTCAAAGTGATAGAGTTTGGGCCAATGTACTTTTAAGAATTAGCAAGTGCAATCTGATGAGTAGGTCTTCTAAAAGAACACATTTTAGGCAGCAGGTGTGGACTAGAGTGGAATAGAGTTGAGCTCTGAAATAAGCTGGAGCAGGAGTGAATATGCAGTTACAATGGATGCTCCTATTTTACTCTGTGTCTGTAATTTGAAGGAGCAGCAGCTCTTCTCCAAGTTCATTACATGTGACTGAGCTCCTCACCCAATTTCTAAGGGAGCTCTCAGCCACCCTGCACAGGAAAGTCATTTGACCACTTGTCTCCCTATCGTGTCCTTTCAGACAATACCCAGAGCTCAGGACCATAGGTGAGTGTAGGAACAGATATTTAAACTAGGTCTGAACCAGAACTAAACCAAGACAAAACAAGGACTAAACCAGGATCATAGGTGAGGGTAGGAACGATTGACCAGCAAATGGAGAGTTCTGCCTTCATGCTCCATCCTCCCCTCACTCATGAACACGACCCCGAAATACCTGAACTCCTCCACTTAAGGCAGTGACTTATTATGGTGTACAATAAACAAAATGTAAAATATGTCTTCATGTACTGCAGTCTGGACTGATATTTTGCAGATGACCATTCCATAGGGGTGCGATGCTATCTTTGTTGAACTTTAATCTGAGCTTTATTTTACCACAATCTACCATAATGACTTAGTTGGAACTACAACAGGTGATCTGATTTGTGCTGTTAAATAAGTCCCTCTCAAATAACATTACAGTCACAAGTTTTAACCAACAGTTTTTCAGTTAGTCTCACATTTGCGTTGAAAAGATAATAACAAATGGAACCACGAATGCTTTATTTTACCTTGAGCTTTTCAAACTGTTTTGGTAATTATTGCTATAAGGCTTTGGTTTCCAAGCCAAATTTTTCTTGATTTTAAAGGCTCTTTATTATGCATATTGACTCTTTAAGTGAGCTTTAAGTTATTAAAATGTTGTTACCTCCTCACAAAAAGACCTAGAGTTGTGTTTTGTTTCTTTCACACACAACTCCAGGTCTGTTTGTGATGAAGAAACAACTAGATTAGAACAAAGATCAGAAAATAAGGGCCCTTTAGACCTTGATTTAGAGCTACTGTTTCAAGTCAAGCACTGTTTTCTCCTCTGTGGTTCCTCTGATTTGGTTCAAGTCCTAGATTACTCTACAGTCCTCATCCACAGAGCCTCTGTTGGCTTATTTGAGTAGCACATGATGGTCCGATGTGAGCCATGACCCTGGCTCCTGAGTATGTTCAGCAGAAACATATCGATCAACTGATTCCTAGGCGCAGTATGACTCCTGGACGGTGTGCTTTTAGGGGGTGGAGAGGTTTGTTTCATCACGTCAGAGGCCTGTTACAGCCATAAGAGCCCTGAGTGTCCTGTCATGATCATATGATCTGCATGCGTCATCGCAAACACATGCACGTTCACCGTGGCATTTTTCGCTTACACCCCAACAGCAGCTTCAGAAACGAGGTTGTTTGACGTTTAGCGCATGCGCGCGGGCTCCAACGTCTCCATGGAAACTGTTGAGCGGAGCTTGGCACCGCACGGACTCGCAGCATCCCTCAGAGCATCACTGAGCCGTGATCAGCCTGCACTGCTCGGATCCATACTCTGTTTCAAAGCGCCAACATGAAGTTTATGGTGGTGCTCGTGGGCGCAGGCAGCCTCGCTTTCCTCGGAGCGGTCATCTGCATCATCGCCAGCGTTTATCCGCGAAAACGGATCGCTCCAGACGGGGACAACAGCACCTCCTCTGAGGGCCTGCTGCGGCCCCTGGAGTCCGAGGCCGTGGCTCAGGCGGGGCCGCTGGGTGCGCTTCATGGAGGTTCCTCGTATGATGGGGCCAATGCGCTGGGCGGACTGGATCTGGACCTCCCCATCCTGAACGAGCTGGGACAGAACCCTGCGCTGAGCTTCAGCCGCCTTGTCTGCACTCCGCTGCCGCTTGGAGATTGCGGCGGTCGGGTACAGGCCGACGAGCCTCTGCCAGGAGTCGCGGATGAAGACTGGAGCAGTCTGCGCGCCACCGCGGATGAGCTGCAGCAGGTGATTCTTCAGCAGAATCAGCAGATCCTCATGGATCAGAGGACCATCCGTGAGCTTACAAGCAAACTGAGCGAGTGTGAGAGCGGCCTGGAGGAGCTGCCTGCCCCCGAAAGGAGTGTCGACTTGTGGAGCGGCAATCGTCGCATTATGGCGGGGGATGAGGTGGGCTCCACGGCCGCGCAGCTGCAGACAGCACGGGCAGTGGAGGAGCTGGCCCGGGCCATCATGGACCTGAAAGACCGCATCGAGAAACTGGAGGTGAGTTAGAGTAAGCCTAAAGTGATAAATAACACAATCTATATCCCCAGCTCTAATGTGCGCTGTGTGCATGCGCGTGACACCGCCTGCTGCGTGTCCTATTGTACACCTTCAGGGTGATCAATAATTCACAAGGACACAGTGTGCACGCGCTCAGCGAGGGCCCTGTGCACACATTTGTGTTTAGCTATTTATCGTAGGACAGTGTGGTGGAATACAAACATATGGGCCCAGCGCCGAGCTAGACACGAAGGCGCGCGCAGCAACTCTTCACAGGCGCAGATCGAATCCACAGATGTTACACCTGATGGTGTAAAGTGGCGTCATAAACGCTCGTGGAAAGCTGTTTTTCTAGCTGTTTTTAGCCTAACATAACAATAGTTTGGATGAAAACATTTTATTAATAAATGTATTCCTTCATAAATGTATTCCATGCTCTACGTAAGCAAATGTGTGTGCCATGTACGCCCACGCACGTGTCCATGTACCTCTATGGCTCTAACCTCAATAACCTTGTATATTACTGTATATATAGGCGGAGATCGGGCCTCCTGCTCTGAACCGCTCTGACTCCTTCTCTGGGGGCAGTCCCAAGGGGAGGCCCTCCACCCCACCTCCACCAGCAGCAGGCTCCCTGAAGCCCCACAGACCAGTGCAATCGGCCAAATCCGCGTCTAAGGGCTCTGCAGCTCGGCCCAAGGGCCCCTGGAGAGTGGAGGACCTGGAGGGCGAGCTGGAGAGGAAGATCAAAATGCTGGAGAGAGAGCGTCAGGCCATGAGGAAGGAGACACAAGGGCCCCAGGACAAGATGAACTCTGGAGGGGAGAGTGTCAGCCCGCCACAGCATGGTCAGACCTGCTTCTGATTTATACTACCAGTCCAAAATCTGGACATATTTTGAATTTATTTTTCTTCTTTATTTCCATGATTATTTACACTGTAGATTCACACTGAATGCATGAAAACATTATGAACAAATATGTAATATCCATCCATTTTCTTCTACTTACCCGGGGGTGGGTCGCAGGGGCGACATGCCCGGAACACCTCCCGAGGGAGGCACCCAAGAGGCATCTGGAACAGATGCCCGAGCCACCTCAACTGGCTCCTCTCCATGTGGAGGAGCAGCAGCTCTACTCCGAGCTCCTCCCGCGTGACTGAGCTCCTCATCCTATCTCTAAGGGAGCACCCAGCCACCCGGAGGAGGAAACTCATTTCGGCCTCTTGTATCTGTGATCTTGTTCTTTCGGTCCTTACCCAGATCTCATGACCATAGGTGAGGGGACGAACATAGATTGAGCGGTAAATCAAGAGCTTTGCTTTCCAGCTGAGCTCCCTCTTCACCACAGCGCTGCACCAATCCACCTGTCAGTCTCACGCTCCATCCTCCCCTCACTCGTGAACAAGACCCTGAGATACTTGAACTCCTCCACTTGAGGCAGGGACTCTCCACCCACCAGGAGAGGATATATGGAATAACAAACAAAAATAACTCAAAACTTGTTTTCCATGTTTTGCCAATCTCTGATCTAAGAGGTAGATGTTGATTTGAAAACTTCCACTACATGTCATCACAAGATGGAACAGAGTATTTTGACCTATGGAAATGTAGAAAGACTAATATATCAGGTTTATTCAAACAAAGAAATTGACAAATGAAGCAAAACATAATTCTAGGTATGTTTATGAACATTAACATTATAGTTAACATGCAAAACATAGCTTCAAGCTCCAAAAATAATCTGTTTTGTGTGGTATAGGGTCTTTAAAAAGGGGGTATTACACTTCCATGGATTATTAGCTAACAGATGTTTACCAAATATTACATTTTGAGTCCTTTGCTCCCAGGTCTAAGTCACTCCCCCTTCAGTGTGACATTACATTATAATCACTGTGCATCCCAGCAATGAAACTACTGCACAATGCCAAAAAACTGGCAGAGTTTGCTAATAGGTATATTGTGTCACTGTAACTCCTGACCATTGCACTATAGAGATACACATGCAGATCATCCCCCAGTATGACAGGGCATCACCTCCAAGTATCAACATGTAGAGTGTATAGTTTTGGATTTCCAGCTGTGTCTCTTGTCTCATGTCCAGGCCTGAGCGAGCCTTCCTTCCCTGATGGTTTCGTGCTGTCCTTCCCCATCCGCACTAACTACATGTACGGTGTGGTGCGCCGAGAGGTGACAGAGATGTACGCTTTCACCGCCTGCCTGTGGCTCCGCCCCACAGAGGGAGGCATTGGAACCCCCTTCTCCTACTCTGTTCCAGGACAACCCAATGAGCTGGTACTCCTACAGGGGGCGCACAACCCAGTGGAACTGCTCATCAATGACAAAGTGAGGCTGTGCCACAACTTAACTAGGTCTAAAGAAGGACTAGAAATTAACCAGGTCTAAAATAAGACTACACCAGAACTTAACCAGCTCTAAAGAAGAACTAGACCAGAACTTAACCAGGTCTAAACCAGGACTGCTTAGAAAAAGCCAAAGACTAGAGAGTTTGGATTTGACTTGGCTTTGTGTTGGTTCCACTATAGACAAGCTGAATCTGTGCACCTGGATGAGTTTATTTATCTGCAATGGCACATTGCAGATTAATCAACATTAGACAATGTAAATGTGCCTGAGTTCAGCTCATTTTCATATAGTCCCTTGACCATATGTGAGAAAGGCAGCATAAAAATGTAATCACACAACAGATATTTAAAATATACAATAAATTGCAAACACAGATACATTATAGGGCTCACAAATCTGTGTTTACACAAGCCATTTTTATTATTCTTTTTAAAAGAGAAGATGGAGGGACATCCTTGTATGGCCTCTAGTGTTCCACTGTTGGGAAGTGAGTCTCCCCTCATTGCTCACTCTGCCCTCACTCCATCAAAGTTCACAAACTCAATGAGCAAAGCCTGTTTGAGCCTCTACACCTAACAGATGTGTTTGAACTGAATCCTAAATTGAACATGAATTCTGATCCCCTTCAGACTGGGACCCAGTTGTTTTGGTGGAACAGGTTCAGACCAGGTTAAGTCAGACATTTCCCAGTTGAACATTAGGAGTTCTGACCTCATATCTTTTATATCATATCGGTTATAATACAGTAAACAAATCTCTCAAAAAGAGTTCTGTCAGAATTAACTTAAAAGTAACAAAAGTTTACATTTCCACAGTTTTGCTGATTAGCTTTGTTGCTCACAGTTTAACTCATATGTGAAGTGTCATCTAATCATCTCCCAGCTCCCAGTGACCAGAACGCACCATTAGTCTCAGTATGACATGGTTTTAGTCACTTGCTATGAACACCAGTTTGAACACTATTTACCATTCAAAACATTTCATTTGTCGACGGTATAGTTTTCATTGACTTTTTATTCTGTTTTTGTTTATTTGATTTGAAAAAATGTGTACACTGAAAAAAGTGAACATGGGTCGCGTGTGTGCAGGTGGCTCAGCTGCCCCTAGACCTGCCTCGGGGCCAGTGGCAGCACGTGTGTGTGAGCTGGACGCTCCGTGACGGCGTGTGGAAGGCCTACCAGGGGGGCCGACTCAAGGGCCGAGGGGAAGGGCTGGCGGCCTGGCACCCCATCAAGCCCGGAGGAGTGCTCATCCTGGGCCAAGAACAGGTCTGTATAAGTACTTTTCAAAGTCCCCTGACTACAAGAAGGCATATATTGTCCTAAAAGTAGTATTAAAATAGAATTGCTTTGGAAAAACACGTTCACATATGACAAGAAATGACTACCCAGTTCAATTTGATTTATGTATTATTTGTTCCATGTGTGGGAGGAGTGTGTAGGGTGTAACATTCAGAGGTGAGCAGAGCAGCTAAACTGGTTTTGTATTTGTTAACTTTTTATTTATAATATTTGTAAACAGAATTAGGCAGTACAAATGGCAATATCATTTCAATCTTAACGGTGATCATTTGTTTCTATCCTGCCTACTTATATGTATTTAGTGTTATTCCAACAATTCAAATTCTGGGTCAACATGTGGGATTCAAAATGGCCACACAACATTTTTCCATCAATAAAAACACAGAAATAAAATTCTGCTTCTTACAGTGAAATACCACTATGAAGGGATGGGGCCCAGCACTGCAGTTTTAAACAGGAAGTCATTTCTATCATTCAGCTGTTTCACAATGCAATTTACTATGAACAAAATGTAAAATAATGATACACGTAGGTTCTGTTTTAAAATATGCAGTATGGTGATGATTTATAGAGTTACAAACTCAGCAGGGTCTCTACCTCTGATGTGACAATACTGAAAAGCAGATTGTTGTGTGATTCATCAAACAAGTGTGAGGAAGCAACAAGTTATTTTGGCATGTGTCCTTTACATTACTTTCCAACAGTGGTTGTTGTGAAGGTGTAAATGCTGACGTGATGTTGTGCTGCTGTTCAGGACACAGTGGGAGGCCGCTTCGATGCATCCCAGGCCCTGGTAGGGGAGCTGTCCCAGTTTAACCTGTGGGACCGTGTTCTCAAACCCGCTGAGGTGTCTGCTCTGGCCGACTGCAGCTCCTCCGCTCTGGGGAATATTGCTCCCTGGACAGACCTGGATGTGGACGTGTACGGAGGGGCCACCAAAGAGTCCACCGAGCCCTGCCATGGTGCCCACAAGCTCCCAAGTCCCAACCAGTGAGGGCCCAACCAGTGAGAGTCCAACCAACCAGGCTCTCCACATGTTGTTGTATTGTGTCCTGTATTGGAAGGTTTCAGATAACATCACATTTGATAGAGTTTAATGTTTAATGAGACAACACAGGAAAAAATATGATTTTGTTAATGTGCCAGTGTTGTAGTGTGGGTGGATATATTTAAACATGAGGTTTAGCACCAGTGGATTGTGATGTTTCTTTAAAAAAATAAAAATAAATCATGTTTAATAGTTACATGAAATCTGGCTCTTGCTCTGTCATGGTTTTGACATGTTTTTACATAAAGGGCCCATACACTGCTGTCTGAACTATGTTGTTTCCCTATCACAAACACCTGGAGAGGTTTTTTTTTTTTAATATTCACAGATAAAAAAAACTTAATATTTAGGCCAAGTTCTTCTCTCACTGTTTTCTCACTGTGATGTCATGTGATAATAATGGAAGTGCTCCATCATGTTTCTTCCATCATGAGATTGACTCTTGCGAGCTTTAAACCATGTTAGAATGTTGTTATCTCATGAAAAAATCTACATTAGAACAGAGATCATAAAATGGCATAATATGGCCCATTTAACACTTTTTAAATGACATTAGGAGATCAGTCTTGAAGAGGCCAGGGGTAAAATGCACTGGAGTGGCCTAGAGTTAGACTGTGCTTACACTGTGACTCTCTGCCACCAGTTTTGTCATATGTGAAATCCAAAGACAATAAAGTACATACACTATCAGACAACAACATGCAACTCATTATTGTCTGCATTTACTTCGCTTAAAGCTTAAAGGTGCACTGCAGAACTTTTCTGGTGGGGGGGGGATCTAAATCCTTGTATCATTCATTAATTTGTTTTTCAAAATAAAATCAAAAATTTGAACATGAAAAAACTGCTATTGTCTTTATTATTTGTCTCCAAAATCAAAATGAAAAAATGGATAATGACTCTTTTTTTTGTTTTGTTCAGTTCTCGATTTTGTGTTTAAATTAATAATGGAAAAAAACTGATAACAGCTAAGCCAATGATGTTCATTATGTCTTCTTATATACTTTAACTTCTTAGGTTCTTTTTAAAGACAATGCAGTGATAACAGCTGTTTTCCATTTCCATGACAACTGTGCTTGTCTAACATTTTAGATGATCATGTTAACTAAATAACACAATTTCCCCCCCCAAAAAAAAAAAATAATAATTATGATTATGCTTTCTTCAGTATGAATACAAATTCACAGATGATTCAACTGTCAAAAATACACTTCACAGGCATTATTTATTGAGCAGAAGAACTACACACGGGCTGAACCAGGACTGATCCCAGCATCACAGTTTAAGTCACGGAAACAGGAAACAGCTGTTATCTGTTTTTTCCCATTATTCATCTACACAAAATCAAAAACTAAAAAAAAAAGAAAAAAGAATTGTTATCCCTGTTTTCATTTTGTTTTGGAGATAAATAATGAACAATATAGTTGTTTTTTCCTTTTCTTATTTTTGGTTTTATTTTGAAAAAAAAGAATTAATGAATGATACACGGATTGATCTGCTACTTGCTTATCTGTTACTGCTTCACCTGGAATGTTCCATAGCTTGGCATTAAACTGTAGACTGTAAAAAGATGGCTTGCAGTTATGAGATGAATTTGGACCCATTTTCCATATTAGGAAAATGAATTTATTTATGGACAGCAAACAGCAAAATGAAAACATCATGATCATGTAGAGCGGGTTAATACAAACTTTTTTAGACCAAATGGAGCCTGACAGCAGCAGTTACAGAAAGAGGAGCCAAGCTTTTTCAGTACAAAGTGAAGGTGTTGGAGAAAAATTATGCAGAGCACCTTTCCTGATCTCTGTTATAATGTATTTTTCTCACCGCAAACAGACCTGGAGTTGTGTTTTTGTTTCATTCACACAAATCCTGTATATTTAGGCTGAGTTCTTCTCTCAAAGCGAAAACACTCTGTTCCTCCTTATAGTGTCATTTAGTAATACAGGAAGTGTTCCACTGTGTGTTTTAAACTCAGTAAACTTTTATTAGAATCATTTGGATAATTTCAGATCTTTAACTGCTAATCTCTACTGAACTAACGGTAAAAGGGAGCTGTTAACTTGAAAAGTACTATGACATCACAAGGTGGAACAGACTAAAAACATCCATACAAGGTTACTCAAACATGTGTGAATGAAACAAAACACAACTTGTAAGTATGTTTTTATGAGGTCACAAGAATCCACTGACTTATGACAGATTTGTCTTTTCAACAAACTGTAGTTAGTATCTTACCTGCTTTACCTAGTTTGTCATTTTAATGGAATTTATCATTGTACTTCTTGGTTGAATGTGGGTAGCACTAATTCCATACACTGTTAACCAGGGCTAAACTTGTCTAATTTATGACAAACATACTTCAGTGACCACACCTTTATGTTTAAATTGTTGAAAATTTTACAGTTTATTGTTCATGCATTTTGGATGGCATAGATAATAGTGAAATAGAAAGTTATTGGGCCTTTAATAAAAATAATAATAATAATAAAGAAAGGAATAAATAAATAAATAAATAAATAAGCTATCAACCAAATATATGTCAACTACAATTTATTCAAAAAGGAACTCAAGGAATTGTTGTTTAGAAAATATTGTGTAGGCGCCACATGAGCCCAGAGTGAAGGTGGATAAACTGGAGTATATATTCAATGAAATTTGGTTATAATTTGACTTTTTGTCATTATACAAGAGGTGGTATTATGTAAAAAGATTTTTGGAGCTTTCTACCATGTTATAACATTGTTTTCTCAAAACATGCCTGAAGAGGTTTTAGTCATCCATATATGTTGAGTATTTTAGCAATCTCTCCCAGACCTTATTCAAACCCTCCTTACAGTTAGCTATAATATTCTGTACAAGGTTCCGCCCACAAGCCTACATCACCCATGCTCCCACACAACAATTCTCCATAAATATACAAACAAATGATACAAAACTGTTCATAGCAACTTGTATATAATTTTCAAAAGAATAAAAGGTAACATGATGATCTAAATATGTTATGTATTGGCAAGTCAATGCCCCACTGATGTAAAATAAGTAAAATATTACCTCTTTAATGTATCAGTAGGTGTGGCGGGTTACTCCTAGACTCACCCATGCATCATGTGGATCACATTTTGGTCATATTTATAGCCCATTTCCACCTTCAAGACACTCAAAGCACATTACATCAAGGAACCACTCCCCCATTCACACACACATTCACACACTTGGGTATGCAGTGTGGTGGAAATTTTAGTATTGGGTGTTGTTCTTTCCCTTATCCAAGTAAGAAGTGTTAAAAGCCACATTATTCTTTGTGTTATCCTTCCTCTCACAGGAAGGCGATTGGTACCTTTGGGTTTTCCATTTACATATCTGATGGTTATATCACGTTAAATGTTGATCATCTTCTCTTGTACTCAGAGGCTAATGTAAAGGTACATAAGCCAAATGGCCTGTCAGACTGACCTAAATGCAAACTGTTCTTGGGAAGGGCTTGAACCTCAGAAAGTATTTAAGTGTTGTGATCCCACTGCTCTGGTCTCACTGCAGTCAGAAACTCTGCCCGTCAGTAGTGAGACCATACGTTGCCGGTGCAAACGTAATAAACCAACCTAGACAGTCCTCATTTATGTTTTGGTATTATTTTACAAATAATTTCCACAACAGCAGACACTAGAGTGAGGTGAGTTAAGTGTCTTGCCCAAGGACACAATGACATCATTCATGTGTGGGAGCTGGTATCACAGCGCCAACCTGTGGGTCAGTGGATCTGACCTCTTCAACAATTATGTTTTTATGTCGAAAGAGGGATTTGAACTGCCAACCTACCAATCATTGGATTTAGCATTTGTTGTCTATAATCAAATAAAGAGTGGTCCATCAGTGCTGTAAAGGCTGATATCTGCATCCTGAGCCCCACCTCTATCTTTCACTGTTGCATTGGTTTAGAACGCACTTTACAAAAACACTATTTTCATTGTTTTTATTTGATGTCAAATACGAGACATTTTGATGTCATGTATTTCTTAAAAGCATTAAAATGAAAGCCACATGAAACACACACAAAGCACTGCAGTTTGTACAATACACACTACATCAGCTGCTGCATATTCATTATTCAAATACCAATTATGAATAACCAATCAGGGCCTGACATTAATTCTTCAGATCACTGGTGACTGGTCACTGTGGCAGGTGTTGGTAGACAATTACAACTGATCTGATATAAATCTATAGCTGTGTTTCTCAGAGTGCAGTAAACAAGCTCTTCTGTTGTTGAAATATTTGCTTAAAGACCCTGCACCAGATTGTATTAGGTATTTGACCAAAATGTGTCTTGCCCCAATACAGATATATTGTAAAAGCAGCTCTTGAGGTCAAAATAAGTACTGTCTACATCTAATAATAATGCATTTTATTGTCTGATCATAAAGAATTGCAAATTAGCATGCTAGTTGTTGTTAGCTTTACTGTCACTGGTCTGGTTGGCACTTGGAAAAATCAATCAGATCATCTACTCTTCTGGGGTACCACCTATCTACACTTTTGGTTTACATTAATGTCAAACCCGAGATGTTGGGTATTCATATCAGCTAACACATTTCTGTAAACAGTTGGTGTGCGCACTCAGCTGGACATTCATATCAGAGAGTAGCCTCAAAATATATAAAAAATCTTCAAAAACAAATTCATTATCGAAATGTCAGTGCATCAGTCTATCTTGCTGAGTCGCTGTGGCCAAAAACAACATTCTTATTGACAACACAGGCTGCATTTAACAGCAAAGACACAACATGACCATATCCATTCAATTCAAAACACAAATATCCAGGCACCAAACATATTCTCATGAGTTGGGTACATTATTTCAATATTTTTTGATGTGAATAACCTTCCCACAATTGTAGTCATATTTGAAATGGACAAACATAGCTTCTGCCAAGGTGCATTCTCTAAAGCTAGAGTCCTAAAGAGTGAACGGCTCCAGACTCGTGTTGTCAATCAGACCACAGTTAAAGGGCCCATACTACACTATTTTCTGATCTGTTATAAGGTTGTTTTCTCATCAAAAACAGACTTGGAGTTGTTGGTATGTTTCATTCACATGTTTAACACACAAACCCCGCATATTTAGGCTGAGGTCTTTCTTCAGTTGTAAAACACTCTGTTCCAACTTATGATGTAATGTGGTAATACAGGAATTGTACCATCACTAGAATAACTTGCATGATTTCAGCCCTGGACTTGCCAATCTCTGCTGAATAAATGGTAAAAGGGGATGTTAACTTAAACTACCACTACATGACATCACAAGGTGGAACAGAGCATATTGAGCTTTAGAGATGTAGACAGACTAATAATAAAGGATTAATCAAACATATGTGAATGAAACAAAACACAACACCAGGTCTGTTTTTGAGGTAGCAGAATTCTGACGTGGCTTAAAGCTCACATGAGTCAGGTATGTGTAATAGAGGATCTTTAAGCCTCTGTGACATGGTTGTCCTGGTAATAATGTAATAATGTTTTAGACAAAAATAGATATTCTCATCACATTGTGCAGCCTTAAGGCATATTTTAGGTTTACATCTGACTTTCTGTTGTTGCTTTGTTCTATCTGAGTCCAGACACAACACAACAATAACATTAAGTTAAAGGACTTCATGGTGTGGACATTCGGAGTGATCCTTCAGTTCTATTGCTTGGGCTGGGGGGTGTCAGCACTGCTGTCAGGGCTGTCGGAGGGGGAGGGGAACTCTTTAATGGTAACTGTGACCAAATTAGTGGTCACATCTGTTACCACTACATCTTTGCAGCCTGGAGCCAATTGAGGGTGCCATCCAGAAGCACCCTTTGGTGGGCCTTCACACACCTGCTCTGATGTAGCTCCCTCAGCTGGGACAAGTCCTGCTGACAAGAGACCATGGTCTGCCTGGTCCTCAGAGCACTGTGCTGGGGAAACCTGCTTCTGAGATACTCCTTGTAACGAGGCCTGGCTGGGAGTGGCCTGGCTGGGAGTGGCCTGGCTTGGAGCGGCCATGCTGGGAGTGGCCTGGCTGGGAGCGGCCAGGCTGGGAGTGGCCTGGCTGGGAGCGGCCAGGCTTGGAGTAGTGGAGCAGGAGAAGGGCGCTAGCTGAGATGGGAAAGGACCTCCACACTGCAGCCCAAAAGGCTTCCCATACATGGGGAAGCCGAGCATTTTAAAGGGAGACTGGAAAGGCTTATAGGGAGCATCTCCTTTCTTGATGATGCGATTGCGTGACGGAATGTTGTGGCGTCCAGTGGAAATGCCCCTGGAGCCTGGGGCTCCACTGCCCCGGCCTGCCTTATCAATGACCTTCAGGTTGAGAATGATGCGGCCCCTCTTGATCTCACGTGGCTTGACTCTGCGGTTGAGAATGCGCACTGTCTCAGAGAAGGGGGAGACGTGAGGGCGTGAGCGGACCCCCCCAGGGGAGGACAGGGCAGGAGACATGGAGGGCAGCGGGCGACGGGACATGCGGTGGCAGCGATGGATGTCCTTCTTCAGCTTGTGAGTAGCAGCCAGAGAGTGCAGTTTAGGAGAAGGTGTGGGCCCAGAGGGTGCAGAGGGGGGGGTGGAGCGCCCACTGGCCTCTCCTTTCGGAGCACGAGTCTAACCACACAAAGTAAATCAGTGCAGCATGATTACCTCCAATGATTAAGAACAACATTTAGATAATATTACTACAAAGAAACAATAATTACCTTCAAAACCATATTCTTGGGTTTTGGGCCACGTTTCTTGGGTCCATTCATATCCCGCTCACGTTCCCTAAGAAGTAGCAGAGGACAGAGCGAATGGTTGATTTGTACACGGTATGCATGTATGTGACATTACATCAGTAATAGGTCTATGAGAAATGCTTGGTGAACGGAGAAGACTGTGATGTGGCATACTTCTGTTCAAAGCCCAGGATGAGTCTGTCGTCCAGGATGTTCTCCTCTGGCTCCCAGGTGCTGTGTCTGCACACAAGCACAGTCACTTCACTACATATACTGTTAACACACTGTGAAGATAAGCCACAAATGATACTTAATGCTGTTTAAATATTAACAGTAAATGTAATATTACGTAAAGAAAGTCAGTAATCTATCATTTGTGTGTAGTATAGAGTAACCAAATATTCCTACTGATCCAGCCAGTCCCAGATTTGAGCCCTGTGTCCCTGGCTCAGTAGATTTATCCAATAAATGTCCCAGGGTTCCCAATTTGAGACCAATTTCATACCAGCCAACAGTAAAGGAGGTATATTGGAATTAGTTAAGACAAAATTAAGATGGTCATACCGGCTTGTCAAACCCTCATCCTGTCAAATCTCAGAAGCTAAGCAGGGCCAGGTTTGGGTAGTACTTGGATGGGAGACTGCTGGGAATTCCAGGTGCCACAGGGGGGCGCCAGTTGCAAAAACTGTTGTTGTGTCCTTAGGCAAGACACTTCACCCACATTGCCTAGTATGAAAGTGGTGTGTGTGAGTGATGGTGGTGGTCGGAGGGGCCGATGGTGCAGATTGGCAGCCTTGCTTCTGTCAGTCTACCCCAGGGCAGCTGTGGCTACTAGGGATGGGCATGATTAGTCGATTAATCAATAATTGATCATTAAGAATTTCATCGATTACGTAAATTTTAATCGACAAACCGAATGCAGGTTGCTGTGCGTAGCATGACCAAACAGAGATCCGTACAAGTAGCTCTCTGCACTCAGGAGCGAGCAAACAAAAAACAGTCAGTCCGCCTGTAACGTACCGAAGTGCATATGCGTATTTAACGATGACTTGTACAAGAAATTCCACACTTTCCGTTCCGGTCGGGACAAGTGGGAGTCCATGTGCACAGTGTACAAAGCAGGAACATATGTTTCGGTGTCCAGTGGGAAAAAGCTTTACCAGGTGAGAGTCGCGCAATGTGGATGACGAGTCCCAACCTCCCACCCCCGTACGGTGTCCTGGTTTTGACAAACGCAAATCTGGTCACACTAACCTGTATTCCACTGAGTCATGTCTTTTAATCCAACAGAAATTGACCGCATCAGCGACACAAGAGCTGTAGTTTTATCTTCTCTTAGTTTATGCAAATTAGCGATGCGGTTTTAAGTTTCGTTTCTGTGAGAGTTGCGCAAAACTGAATTAAACACATTATAATAAACGGGCTGATGTGGCTCTAGTGTCGTTACGGTTTATTTGTTGTAAAGTTGAATTTATTTATGCAGATTAGGAGTGCAGATAGTAATAATAATGATGATCATTTTAATATAAAAACGTTAATGATTAATTGATAATCGATCGTTAATTCTCTCGACGATCGATTAAGAAAATTTCATCGAATGCCCATCCCTAGTGGCTACAGTAGTAGCTTACCACTGCTGAGTGAATGAATAATGATCTGTAAAGCGCTTTGGGTATCCTGAAAGGTGCTATATAAATGCAGTGATTAATTAATTAATTAATTAAGATAACTGTGTTGGAACATTACCAGAAAGCAGAAAATCAGATCAGATCATCACTCACAAGTGAGTCATGAAAGAGGTGTGAATGAATGGACCTAGTGAATAGTAATTAATTAATTATTAATTAATATAATAACATAATATAACTAATGTAATGCACTGTTATTAATACAATAACATTAATAACAGAACATAATCCAGTCCCAATTTTGAGTGTTGAAATTTTGACAAGTCAAAGTCACCACTTACTTCATTGCCCAGCCCTTCCATTTGACCAGGTATTCCAGCCTTCCCTGTGGAAAAAACACAACTGTTACCACTTGTTACTATTACACTGCTGACTGGTACCTTAGTTCCCCTGGGCTCTTTGTATAATGACCGACACAGACTTTTCATCAATGTGTAAAAGCCACCTGCCCCAGTCTCGGCTCAGAACAGTTATTGTTAAACTGGCGTGCACACAGAAGTCACATAATGTAAACCAGGGTCCTCATGCTATTGCCATTTGCCCGGCACAATTCCTTACAATACTGCATAAGTCTTTCATTTCTGGACATGATATAATGTGTTTCCTGTTAACAGCAGCGAGTAGCCACTATAAGGTTAATGAAAATGATCTTATTTTGGTTTCAGAGCGGACGGAGCGGTCTATCGCGGGCCTCTCAGTGCACAGCTCGTCTTTGTGCCTGTTTTATGACCCTGTTTCTAGCGTGTAGCTAACTGCAGCTAGCAGAGCAGACCTAGGCCAGAGCCCCTGGCTGTGCACCTTTGCAGACTGATGACCCCTATCAGCATCAGTCCCTGGTACAGGTATATCCAGATCTAACCTTAGGTCACTGCACCGCTCCGGAGCTCACCTTACGGACGCGCCGTTTGAGGATCGCCTCAGCGGCGAAAATACGATCCCCCGCCGCCGAGAGCTCCATCTTTCATGTCACAACTGGACGTATGTCTGTTGTAGTTCGTGTAGTTAAAAATTACAGCCAGCAGTGCAGGAACAATGTAATGGTGAGCAGAGAGGGCATCAATCCACACGCATATACCCGTGCGCAAGCACAAGTCCGCTGCACCACGGCTTTGCGGGACAGGACAGCGCGCCACACGAACCCGCTGGTCACGTGTCTCCCTGGTAACCGAGGGCTTCACTGGAGAGGAGACGATCAGGTGATGGTGGTGGATAGACGTGCTCAAAGCAGATGACCCACTGATACTTACGCGTCACGGTCACTGGTGCCCACGGTTACAACCCCAGTTCGGCAGACTTGCATTTGAAATGTCTGTTTTCTTATCTGTGTTGTACTGTTTCTTCATCAGAAATATAACTGGAGTTGTGTTTTGTTTCATTTACACTCACGCTTAATACATAAACCATTTATATTTAGGCTGTATTCCTCTCAAACTGAAAACACTGTTGTAATGTCATGTGGTAACTTGTATACAGGAAATGCTACACTGCGTTTTTAAACTTTATACACCTTCACTAGAATCATTTGGATAATTTCAGCCCTGGAATTGCTCTACTGAATTAAAGGTAAAAAGTTGCTGCTGAAAACCACCGTTTTATGACATTGCATGTTGGAGCAGAACATGAAAAAGTAATAGGACCTTTAAAATATGGAGTCAAATAGCAATACATTAAAAAAATATAATAGTTATGCTACAGTTTATAAATATACCCATAAATGCAGCATTAGGAGTATTGAGTAAAATAGAAAACAAATAAATAACTTAATAAATAAAAGATTGTAGTGTTGTCAATGGATTCTTTTGCAGTAAACAGAGAGACTTGTGTCTTGCCCGCCTCTAGACCCGCCCCTTGGATGGATAAGGAATGTGATTGGGAGATTGGAATGCCCATGATCCCGCCCATATTTTGTTTTTGAATTTTGATTGGAGAAGTGTGCTGATTCGGGTACGTCACGGTTCATGTTTGGTTGTCGCAGCGTGGTGGTGGGCTGGTGGTTGATGTCGCTGTCAAAAGTCAGACGCTACGCTAACAGTAGGTAACGGAACATTCATATCACTTTATTACAAGATTTTCGAATGGGATTGCGATCAAATTTTGTGTTAAATAATACTGTTAACACATGGAGAATGACTGGTTAGGTGTGAGAGTATTTGAGCTAGACTTGCATGAATACAGGGTGGGAGAGAGGCATTAGCGTGTTGTAGTGACTGCAAACTTGACACGTTCAATATTTAACTAAAAATATAATTTAGTTTGTCTAAGCTGTAGGAGATGAGGGCTGCCTTGGATTGTGTTGTCCCCCAAAATACATACGTTTAGTTTAAAGGTCCTTTTTTACAAAAATTACTCTTGTGAAGTTTAAGCCATGTTACCATATCAAAAACAGCCCTGGAGTTGTGTTTAGTTTCATTCTCACATGTTTGAGTAATCCTGCATTTTTAGTCTGTGTACATCTCCAAAGTTCAAAATGCTTCCACCTTGTGATATCATGTGGTGGTTTTCAAGTTAACAGCTCCTTTTACCTTTAGCTCAGCAGAGATGGACAATGCCATCAAAAGATTCCAGTGAAGATGTAAGGAGTCACAAATTCTAGACATACAGACACATAGTAGCCATCGCCAATACTACTTCAGAACCAAAGGAGCCACTGATGGACTGGACCAAAAGAAGCATATTTTTGGCATCTTTATTAATCTAAAAAAGCACAATGAACCACTCAATCCTGCTAAATAAACTTGAAAAATACGGTATGAGAGGACTAGCTGGGTACTGGTTAAGAAATATACTAGACACTAAGAAGAAGTGTCTAGTATAGGAGAATACTCACGTGAATACCTTGACATTGCCTGTGGTGTCCTCCAGGCGTCTGTGTTGGGGCCCATGCAAGCGGTCTCTTGAACACAATGCACTCTATATATAATGTTGCTCACTTTTTCTCCCTTATTTCACGACGTGTTAAAGTATGAGGAAACAATTTCCAATGTTCAACTAAGCCACTATTCTTATTGCAAAAAATGTATAGGGTGCAAATGTGGAATGCAACCAGAACAAAGGCTTTTGCAGTCATGCAAATGATTTTTTAAAGTACAGATACAGGGGCAAAGTTACTCAAGTAAAAAGTATAAGAAATGAGAACATGATAAAATGTACTTAAGTAAAAGTATTAAATTACCTTGTATGTACTTAAAGAGTAAAAAGTGAAAGTATTTTGCAGAGGAAGTACAATTAAAGGATGAACTGTAGATATTTTGATAAATAATAAAGCTGATTTTAAGTGATTCAATAGAGTTCTTAATTTTTCTAGCCTTTTTGTGTTTTTGGTTTGCTCAGAGTTGGGATGGAAAGTAAAATTAAATGTGCTAAAAATAAGTCTCAGCCATTTCAACAGGTCTTAAACTATAAAGAATTGTCCTTTTTTACTTTTCAGTCCAGTTAAAAAATGTACTGGAGTAGAAAGTACAGGTACTTGCTCTCAAATGTAGTGAAATAAAAGTAAAAAGTATCCACTGTAAAATTGACTTAAGTAAAGTACAGATACCTAAACTTTAAGTACTGTACTTTTAGTTTTGTACTTTGTTACCTTCCACCACTGGATTTAATACATTTTCTTCTTCCTACTCCTTTTCAAGCTCCAACTCTGACGTGCTGCCTATTTTTGGCTTACTCAATTTAAATGACTTTTTAAATATATATTTTCTGAAAAATGAAAGCCCTCTCACAGTAAACACGTTTTGTCAGTTTTTCATTGCAAGAAAAACAACTAAATTGAAGACTGCTTTTATTTTTGTATATTTTTGGATAAAAAGTATTGACATGAAAGTACTGAAATGCCCCTTTAAACTACCTTTTACAATTAAACAGTATTTCAGAAAGATTTTGAGCACTATGTAAGTGTTAAAAGCACAAAAACTTGAATACAGTACTTTTATACTTTATTACCCTCTGTTACAGATAGTTGCCTTTTTAAAGGTGCAAACGGATGCTAATCCATTGCCTGGAAAGTTCCACAATATGGCATTAAACTGATCTATTGTGCACTTAAAGCAGACCTATTCTGAAATTTACTCTCTTGAAGTTGTATTTGGAGTGATTTGTGCATGTGCAATCGTTAATTGGCTGTCTTTCCACAGAGAATGCAGTTCCTTGGCCGTCTGCTGGACACAGTGTCATCAGTGTCCACTCTCTTCACTAACCCGTACAGGGTCAAAGATGTGCCTCTGGGAGACTACAGCGGGGCTGGACGGTTCCAGCTAAAACAGGAGGGCCGCCTGGTCTTGTATAAGAACAGCCCCAGCCAATCCTGGGACTGTGTGCTGCTGTGCCCTGACACACCCACACTCGCACTCAGGTCTGTACTAGTGCCCGACCGAAATGGATTTTGCTGTGGCCGATACGATACCGATAAAATGGGAGTTGGAGCTGTCGATAGCTGATATAATCGCCGATATATTTAGTGATGTAAAAATTCACTGTAAATCTTGAATTGTTTAAAAAACTTAGGTTTGGCTCTAGTGGATTTTAAATTGAGTTTATTTAGGCAACATTTGTTGTTATTCTGCCTCTTTACGTCATATTTACAGACATTAGGTTGAACTAATGGCATTTTTGCATCACATTCTAGCTACTAGTGATGGGTATTCCAGTTCTTTGTAGAGAACCAGCACTTTTGACTCTGCTCACTAAAAGCAGACGGCTCCTTTGGCTCCCAAGCGGCTCTTCAGGTTGTTTTGTTGCAAGCAGGACTAAACCAGAACTGAACCAGGTCTAAACCAGGACTGAAAAAGGACTAAACTAGGACTAAAACAGGTCTAAACCTTGTGTAAAACAGGACTAAACCAGAACTGAACCAGGACTAAGTGTTGGGACTCTATCTCTCTCCTTCTCTCGAACCCAAGATTAGTCCTGGTATATTCATTTTATGCTGACCTACAGCAGCTAATCGCTAACCAATGAGAAATAATAAAGTTGACACATTTCCAACACCCAGCGCTCACACAGGCTCCTCCTCACATCACAAGTCTGCACTAATAAATGTCCTTTTAATCCAGACTCAAACCGATTGTCCATAAAAAGAATATAATCTCAGTGTTGCACATTGATCTATGTCTGCGGGTGTAAACAAGAGCATGTGAGTGACGTGACTCTGGGGGTGTGTTCAGGGACAGTACTGACACAGACAGACAAATGATTCTGCAGTTAAATACTGATGTGGAGCCACATATTAGGACATTTATCTGTCTCTAAATTGGATTAAATCAGTGCTTCTCAATTATTTTCTGTCATGCCCCCCCTAGGACGAATAAAACATCTCGCGCCCCCCCGCGTGACTATAGATAGTATCATTTGTCTATAAAATTGTTATAAGTACACCTCTGCGTAACACTGCCACCTTATATGATGCCAACAACGCTCGCTGGTTTACTGAAGTAGCAGTCACAAGCGGGATGATTGTCGGCAATATTCGGCACGTTTTCGCTGAAAAATCTCAAGCGGCTTATCAGAGTGATCGGGGTGTAATGTATTTAAGTGACGCCTTAATTTATTGGGCTTCATGCTGTCCGCTGCCAACATTTTTAGACACAGTAAGCACACCGGTCTTTCCTCGTCTCCCACCGTAGTCACAGTGAAGCCGAGTGCTACATACGCTTCGTCATATTTCCTCGTCTTAGCTTTCGGGAGATTTTCGTTTGTCTCTTTATCTCCGTCTCTCTCCGCCTGTCTTCTCATCCCTGTTAAATATTTTTTTCATGGTGTCACTTGAGGGTCTGCTACACTTCGTGTCTACACTTCATCCTCAAACTCTGTGCTGTGTGCAAAGCGCGCATGCTCAGTGCAAACAAAACTCCTACACCACACCGAGCGAATGCTCCCTGCGCACACTCTGCCAATGAGAGCGCCACTGCCCCCTAATGTAGTGGAAGTGCAATTGCACTTTATTCTAAAGGCCAGTTCAGACCAAAGCGTCAAAGCGTCCACTTTTTTATGTAAAGTCTATGTGGACGCGCGACTAGAGCGTCCTGCGTTTTTGCGGCGCGTTTTCGGCATCAGCGCGGCGCGAATCTGGCGTCAGCGCGGCGCGTCTTCAGCGTTTTGGCGTCAGCGGCCAAGACGCGCGTCCAAAGCGTCAGCGTCAAGAAGTTGAAAATGCTGAACTTTTCGCGTCAGACGCGCCGCGTCAACCAATCAGGGACGAGTATCCAGAGACGCAGCGACGTTATTATCAGGAAGAAAGACCCGAGAACCAGAACGAGAACCACAAACATGAGCGGAGAATAAATATATACACCACAATCACCGAGCTGATCGCGAGGAATACACCAGGACCGGACCAGGACCAAACCAGGACTAGACCGGGACTAAACAAGGACTAGACCGAGACTAGACCGAGACTAAACAAGGACTAGACCGGGACTAGACCGTGATTAGACCGGGACTAGACCGGGACTAGACCGTGATTAGACCAGGACCAGACCGTGATTAGACCAGGACTAGACCGGGACTGATCCAGTGTCATTAGCGGAGTAGAAATATATATACGCCCCAGTCGTCGACCCGATCTCCTCCGTTGATGTTTTATGTCATAAAAACACTCTCAGTCTGGTCTGATATTGTTTCGGGAAAAGAGCGGGACCGGGGTCTTGTTTCCAGGGCAACGGATGCGCGTCGAGTATTTTTGTCCCGTTCGTCCACGGCGTCAAAGACGCGCGTCGGGGGGCGTCTAAACTCAAATGCAAAGGCTCCAAATAGAGGCGTCAAGGCGTTTTTTGACGCTTTGGTGTGAACGGCCCTTAAGACAGTAAAAAACATCTAAATAAAAAAATAAAAAAGCATGTTCCCCGAGGTCAAACGCGCCCCCCTTGACGGAGCCTCGCGCCCCCCCAGGGGGGCGCGCCCCACTATTTGAGAAGCACTGGATTAAATGAACATAATGTAGAGAATCTGAGCTTTATAACGAGGTATATCATGCCCACGTGAAATATCGGCAAGATTTTCAGCAAGGTCAGCTGATCACTGATATGTTTCCAGGTGCCCATATCAGCCGATAATATCGGCCAACCGATATATCGGTCAGGCCCTAGTCTGTACCCTGCAACCTCTGGCCTTCCATTTCTTTCTTTCTTATATTATCTGAGATATAAAACTAACAAAAGAGAAATAGAGAATAAATAACACACAGATAACAGAAATAAACAAGAAATACAAAACTAAAAATGAAAGAGAGGAGAGTAATAAATAAACTGCATTGCTTTTGTCAGAGGGGTATGTTTCCTGGCGATTGATGGGGCGGTTCTCACCGTGTTACCTTTTATTGTTTTGAAAATGGTGTATTTGCTAAAAACATATGACATATTAACATGCTTCATAAGTTATAACATGTTTTTGAAGCCCCCTCCTTCAAAACACCCATTACAACACAATTGGCATGCATGCTGCTAATGAAACTACTGCACATCACAACAGGTGTGTCAAGTTGTTGTATCATGTTTTTGTATATTTATGGAAAATTGTCATGGGTGACGTAGCCTTGTGGGTTGAGCATTGCACAGAATTCCGCAGCTAACCGTGAGGACAGTTCGAATAGGTCCTTGGAGAGATCACCAAAATACTCAAACATGCATAGATGTTTTAGATGAGAGAACATTATAACATAGTAGAAAGCTAAAAAATATATATATTTTGCTTAATACCCCCTCTTTAAATATATTATTAATGAAAATCTGGAATTTATTGTTCTATATTGACATTTTGATTTAATTAGATTTATTTAATTTTGTTTATAAAAAAGATCTTTTCATATGTGTTTTACAGTCTATATAGTACATATAATGATTACAATTCACAATCACAACTACTTTTTACTTTTTATATTTGAAATAGTAATGCATTTTTTCACCATTGTTTCAGAAAGTGTTGCCATTATCCAATCCCAAAAGTAGTATTTGCTCCAGTGCTCACCCCACAAGCCTATGAGATCCATAACACATGACAATTCTCCATAAATATACACAAGCATGATACGCGCTACAGCTTTACAAAAAAAACATGAAAAACATGTTAATACGTTGTTTTCTTCAAATTTAGCTTTTTCAGGGTAACATGGTGATGTAAATATGTTTATGTGTTAGCAATTAATACCCCATATGAGTGTAATAGCCCCTATTTAAGCCAAAAGATTTGTATGACACGCTGGTGGAGCCAATCCCAAACAAATAATGATGAGGTTCAAATTTTTTATGGTTTGCTATGCTAAACAATATGAGGAATGAGGAATTTGCTATGCTAATTCCTCATTAGCACTTGAACATGAAGTCATGCTGAGTGACCCAGTCGACTGTGTGCTCAGGCTGTTCCAGGTGTCCACTGAGGAGGATGCTATGGCCTGCTTCTCTCAGTACTGTGTGAAGCTGAAGCCCTTCTATGAGACGCTGGTTCTGAAGGCTGACAGCGCTCAGCTCATTGTGGACTGCATCAGGAACCACCCCGACTGGAGCACCGCCCACATCGCCATAGAGACGGGCCAGAGGGACTGTCTCAAGCACAACCATGTCCAGAGGTGTGCGCCCGTACACAACATCACATATACACTGCTCCAATGATTTCATGCTGTTCTACTCTGTAGGTTAGGTTAGGTTGCTTTATTCGTACCTGTAGGTAAATTTGTTTTGCAGATTTGAGAGGCAAATCCCACATTTCACATTTCATTTGCCCACATTATATACAATATCAAGTATAAAAACACAATTACAAAATAAATATAAAGTGTTACAGTGCTCTTGTGCAGAATGGTTTGTTCCATAAACAGTTGATTAAATTCATCCATTATGTTTGGCTAAAATCACAATAAATACTAAATATATAAAAACACACAATTTTTCCAAGACAAATGTACTGAAATTGTTAGATAAATAGATTACAGTTTATTCATAAGAATGATAGCAGCTGGAACGAAGCTCCTTTTAAAACAATTCATTTTATATCTTGAGATTAAAAGACTCCTGCGACAGGCGGCAATCCCCGAACCCGGATATATACAATCAGTATTTACATCTGCAGATTACAAAGATCAACTCGGTCATTCAGTCAACTCAATTCAAGCCATGTCAGATCAATTCAAGTTAATTTGATGTAAGTTAATGCAAGTGCACTTGTATAAATATGTACTGTATTAATAACCTTTCAGATCACAATTCAACAATAGCAGCGATAGTAAGTAAGTAAGATAAGATAAGATCATCCTTTATTGTCTCCCATGGGAGAAATTTGTCTTGGGACGGGGGTAACATGCTTTATCAAAAAACAGGACAACACACCACAAAGCACCACATAAACAAACACGATAGAACAGAATAAATATGAGACCAAGTATGACCACGAGTAATGCACCAACAGGACCTTTAAATTATTCTTAACAGGCAAGCCCTTGCATTCTTGTATTCTATTAATAATTGCTCATTCCCTAAGCCTATGTGCAGTTTTAATTGCTCATTCCCTAAGCCTATGTGCAGTGGCGAAGTAAGTATGTCCCTATTTATATAGCGCTTTTCACAGACATTTTTTGTCACAAAGACGCTTTACAGAGCATTATTCAGCATTATTCATTCACTCTATACCTGGTGATGGTAACCTACTGTTGTAGCCACAGCCGCCCTGGGGCAGACTGTCAGAAGCGCAGCTGCCAAGCTAATCGGCGCCATCGATGACGGTGATCGACTATGGTGGTCCCTCTGACCACCATAGTCAGTGTTTCAAGTCAATGTGGGTGAAGTGCCTTGCCTAACAACACACAATGATTGAACTGATCGTATTTAACTGACCTTGACTATCAACTGTTCTTGGAGACCTATGTAGCATGTTTTGGGTTGATGGGGGAAACCGCAGCACCCGGAGGAAACCCATCCAGACACGGGGAGAAACATGCTAACTCCACACAGAAAGGCCTGGGCGACCCGGGGATCGAACCCAGAACCTAGTGGATGGAGTGCACAATTTGAAACAAAAAGGAAGAATAATAGTCACTTTACTAGTGGCTTTACTGTAGTTCATAGCTCAGGTGAGCAATGTGGGTTTAATATCCATGATCCATGTCCGGAATGTCAGTGTAATAATTGTCCATATGTGCATAACAGAGTTTGAGTAGTAATGAAGTGTGAGGAGTGGACTGGCTGCAACAGGTCCTACCAGACCATAGAAACTTGTTGGAGGATTTGTGAGTTGTAGGTAGCTTCTCTGGGTTTCACCATCACCATCGGAATATGGTTGTACCCTACTGGGCATCACCTGGCCAATTCCCTCAGTTTACACGAGCGTGCGGTCTATTCGCCTACACATAATAGCGGTAAGGGCTCCTGTGCAGCCGTCCTGTCTCGCTTCAGTCCCGTGTGTGAATTGACAGAGGGGAGCAGGTAGCTTGTATGAAGCACTATCATGAATGCGATTTGCCGTCTCAATCTCATGAGTGTGAGCGGTGTGTTTGCTGACTGGCAGTAGTCGGAATATTTTCTGTTAACTGCAGTTAGGCGTATTTTAACCTGGGTTACATGTAGGTGTAACCCGGGTTAAAATAGTTCTAATTGATGAGGTTGATGATGTCACAAATAGCGTACCCCCACTTAAAAAGTCCCAACTACACCACTGTTGTACACGTATGTACAGACCTCTGTTTATTTCAGACCTTGAAAGCTTAAGACAGATGTTGGTGCTGTTTTCCTACTTGGAACCGTAGGAGGTTAGCGCCATGTGCAATGTGACTTCTTCAGAACTTTTCTGAAAGTCTTAATTCCTCAAAGCAATTGTCCGTAAAGCGGTTGTCCATAAAAAGACTCCATCAAAAATCATCATCACAGCAGTGCATGTGTCTACTGTCTGGCACTTTGATAAAAATAAGCCTTATTTTCTTGCTTGTGCTAAAAATTTTTTTTTTTTTTACTTAGGAGTTACTAGCTTATTTCAAAACATTGAAAATCCTCCCAGTCACTGGTGTAAACAGTAGCATGTGACTGTGCTGCATTCAGGGGCAGTACAGTGTCAGACACACACGCACACAATGCCACATTCTACCTGTTGTCTCATTATTTATATCAGTCAGGCTCTAATTTCTTTAGACTAGGATTTGAGCTAGAAGTCGTTTCGCAGTCTTAGTTCCAGTGCATTGTGGTTGAAAACTGCTGCGCTGATTTCCACCTGCCCCTTTAAGTTAGGCAGAAACAACTTCACAACCAAGTGCAGTGCAGATGATTTTGCATGTGGTAGTATTGTCTTGTGGTAATGTTGTGGTAATGTTGTGATGTGGTTGTGCTGCAGTGTGATCAACTCCCAGGACAGCTCTGGCCGGACCCCTTTGCACCTGGCCTGTGAGCGGGGGGATGTTGGCTGTGTGCGAGAGCTGCTGGAGGAGAGCCAGGCCCGCACAGACATCAAAGACCAGAGCGGAGACACAGCCATGCATTATGCAGCCAAACAGGACTCACCCGCTGTCATCCAGGTACACCATCATACAATGCACTCTATCATCCTCTATGTGCTTTTGGAACTTGGACCAAAAACATATGTAAAATAAAAATGTTGAGGTATAAATTTACATAATATATCACATTATTGTTTTTTATTATTGTTAGAACAGTTAGAACCTGCTCTATTTACTCAGGAACTTTATAATTCAGGAATTATACTTCAGAGAAATTTCACGCAACATACTTGAAGACATTTTAAAAGAGCAGAATGGCTGCCAGGGCTCTTTTATACCATCATCTGCTATCATAGAACTAGAATCAAATCTGAAAGGTGAACGCGCAAGAGCGTCTTATTGCTTTCAGTGACCCAAAAATGATTTTCTCTTCCGCATTTACTTCCTCAATGTGGGCTAGTGTCTCCCACCAGTATGATGTCTGTAATGTGCACAGTGTGGAGCCTTTGGACCAATCAGAGCAAGAGCTGCTGGAGTGAAGCTAGCTCAGGCACAGTGCGGAGCTAAGCTAAGTTTTACAAAGATTACTTTTAGGCACTTTGAGGATTTAAACATTTTAAAAAGTTTATGTTGTGAAAATAGAAAAGAATCCTACAAAATCCGACCTTTGTGAAAGTTGTCATTGCCCTGTCAGCCGAACACAGGCAGTTTGAATTCCCAAAAAATGCATGGTGCTTGATGAAAGAATTCTTTCTGGGCCCAAGCTGCCGGGAGCTGCAGTACCTGGAGCGGCCACTAGCCAGTCTTTAGCCAGGACAGAAGGGGAGGGGCTTATCTAGTTTTTGTTATAGATCCATGGAAGGCATGTGATAAATCACCTGACGTAAGAGTCAACAGTAGGGCTGTTGCAATAACCGCAAAAATGAATCACCGCGGTACTAAGAGGCCCACCGCTGTGGATGTTGGGCCACCGCGATCAACGCACATGACCAACGTGACCCAACCCAGAGTCCTGCACGGATCCATTTTTAGAGACCCGCACCCGCCCGGACCTGATAACATTCCACCCGTGATAACCCAGGACTAACCCAGGACTAAGGTGTGCCTGCGTAGACCATCAGGTGACCGCAGGCAAAAGGACTGGGGCAGAGCTCCATGCAGCACAGAGTTAAGTGCGGCCATCACCCGATTGTGCTTTGCGGACACCTGCTCCACGTGCTCGTGCTAGGGGCTCTCTCCATGGGTACCGACCTGGAGCAGGACTCTGACCCGAGCTGTCACAGTGAGAGCTGGAGAGATGCAGCGGCACTTGTTCCAAAGCTAAATATTACTCCTCCCACGCTACACACGCTATATCCACGTGTCAACCCAGGTACGTGTGCATCTGCGTAACAAGCGCATCATCGGAGAGAGTTTTCAGTGCAGCTGGAAATATTATAACTCCGGGGGATGTGGGGTGGGGGAGGGGGTGCGATATCATCGCATACTGCACTGTTGAGCCGCTATACAACACCGCATGAGAAATTCCCTAACCGCGACAGCCCTAGTCAACAGTGAACAAGACTGTAACATCATCAATAGCTTTTGGCTTTTTTTTTAAAAATACTTTACTTCAGCTGTTGTAACAATTTTCTTACTTGAGTACACGTTTTGGTTACTCTTTCCACAGTGAGTCTACAAGTGACAGAATATTTATGTTGAAAATATGAAATGATTTTTAAGGGCTGTATCTTGCCCCTGGTCTTAATGCTAGCGCTAACAAGGGGGTGTGTCATGATCGGACTGTACTTGGCTGCTGGGGACTTGTGAGGGTTGTGAGAAAAAAGAGAATAAAAGGGAAAAAAAAAATGAGTACAATAAAACGGCTCTGGATATAGATACGCACCAGTAGAGGCACCAGGATTATAGAATTTTGGGTGGGCTGTCATAGAACTAGTTTAGGGGTCAGTCCACGCCAAATCTCCGAATGCCCCCACCCGATCATCAAATTCTAGGAGGTTCACACACTTTCCAGTAGGAAAAGTCTCAAATTTTAGCTCCCAACTCCTTATAGTTTTGTCATAAAAAAAATAATATATATTTTTTCAACTCTTCCCTGACCTGTTTTGAGCAGAGTTTTCCAAGGAGCCACGTTCAGATTGCTGTATCTAAAAAACTATTTAAAGTAAGTTCTTAAAATTTTCAAGGTTAACCCTTGAAAATATTTGGCAAATGTACTTGTAGAATCTGGACTTTTGATTTATCACAGATTTCTGGGGTCTTAAATTTGCTAGATAATTCTACTTTTTAAATCTGAGGGCGTCTTTGAAGGACTGTGGAAAGTGCAATTTCAAAGACAGAGGTTTGATATTGAACATACACCTTCCCACACATGCTGTGTACTTTGTATTTTAAAACTGAGCCTCTGTGATGAACACTCTAGAAGATATTAAAGGTTGTATGGAGGATTTTTGTTTTGTTTTTTTTGGTTTCAAGTTGTCAATGATAGCATTATAGAGGTGCAGTAGCCTTGTAATTATGATGACCAAAAAAAAGAGAATAAAAAATTCATCAACTCTGGACGTGGTGGGGCCAGCTAAACATTTGCCAATAGATAACAACACTGCCTCGTTATCTGTTAGCTGACAGGCTGTCAATCAATCTCCCTACGTTTCTAGCGTAACTGACTTGCCTGCGCGCCGCCGGTACTGGTTTACGTACGCCTGTCACGCAGTCCACAGACGCAAGACGCACAGACGCTGTTTACTCCACCAACGCAACAGTTCTTAGCGGCTTTTTTTTACCTTTTTTTTTACCTATAACATCCTCCTTTTTCAGGACACGAAAGCGATATCCTATGTCTGAAAACGTAATTTTCAAGGCAAAGAAAGAGTCCGCTTGCTGCTGCGTGTTGTAGCTAGTTCATTCGCACTGAATCTCCGCGCACTCTTCTCTGCTCCCCTTTCCTGCTCCTGTCCCCGCTGCCCGTTCCGCTCTTCCCCCGCTCCTCACTTCTCCGGGCACGGAATCTCCGCGCACCGCTCCCCTCTCCTCTCCTCTCTCCTCTCCCTGCTCCGCTCTTCTCCCTGCTCCTCACTTCTCGTCCGCGAACGAAATGTCCGCACACCCGCTCCCCCCCGCTCCTCACTTCTCCGTCTTGCCTAACCAACACTGTAGTTAGTTGTTTACAAGTCATGTGCAGCTCACCGGCTGTAAACAAACCTGTTTCTGGCGTAAAGAGGAGGCGGGAGAAGGCGTTTCTACGTAGGAGCTGTAGGGGAGGGGGGTGGTTTCACGCATGCGCAACATTTGAAAAAGGACAAACAGTCGCTGGATTTCTCGTTCCTTGGAAAATCCTCTATACAACCTTTAAGTGTTAAATATGGAAAAAACATTGGATTTCCAATCAAGAAATACTTGCTGGTTGAATAAAAGTCAAAATTTGTCAGGGGTATGAATAATTTTGGGCTTGACTGTGTATGTGTATATATATATATATATCTATATATCTATCTATCTATATATATATATATATATATATATATATATATATATATTTTATTTTTTTTATTTTTTTATTTTTATTTTTTTTGGACCTCGCAACTAACAAAGTTAGGGGCGAGGGGTATTGTTCTTCGTCGGTTTCTTTTTTTTTTTTTTTTTTTTTTTCTTCCCCACATTGAATCGCATTTTTGACCCCCTGAACATGGACGAAAAGTCCCCAAACCGGGGTCCAGATCGATCGGGTCGGCGAAAAATTTGATAAAATGGGCATCGCAACAATGACCCGAGTGACCCAACTCAACAGCGCCACCTAGAATTGGACCCCTATGGGAGTGGGGACAGGCAAAGTTTGTCGCAGGGAAACGAAATTCGGGACAGTGATAGAGAACAATGAGACAAGCCAAAAGATGAATTGGAGCATGACCCTATGACGAACAGGAAGTCGGCCATATTGGATCAAACATTCGCCGCCGTTTTGACTTTTTTTTTTTTTTTGAAGATTCAAGTCCCCGGGGTTTGGTCCAAATGAGCTCAGATTTGACATGTCACATCTACAGACATAAACTCACAGAAGTTGCCAATTTTTTTTTGGAATACTCCTTACGGTTCGCCCGTAGCACGCTGGCGAAAAACGCCTTCATTTCCTGTTTTTTCGGTGACCTGTCACGGCCACAGGCATTGTCCTAGACAACTCAAATTCAAATCACAATTGCGTGATCCAGACCTGAATGTGATGAAATATGAAATCTAAATAAAAGTGAACTCTATAGCTCCCCCTACCATAGACGTGAAACGTCAACATTATCGGATTAGTACCAAATTCGGGGCATAAATTCTATGCATGATTACAAGCAAAAGAGTTTATTACGGACATGATGCATTTTCCACCATTGGCCAGCAGGGGCGCAAAGACTCCACCAAAAAATAGTAAAAAAATTATTACACCCACAGGTTTAGTCCGATCGTGCTGAAATTTGAATCACTAATGCCTGATCACGGCCTGAATATAATACACTATAAATATATGAAAAGCGAACGCTATAGGGCCCCCTACCATAGACACGAAACGTCAACATTATAGGATTAGCACCAAATTATGAAATAAAATTCTATGCATGAATACAAGAAAAAAAGTCCATTACGGACATGGGATATTTTTCACAGTTGTCCAGTAGGGGCGCAAAGACTCCCCCAACAAATGGTTAAAAATTTATTACACATTTATTACAACAGGTTTTGTCCGATTGTACTGAAATTTGAATCACTAATGCCCGATCACAGCCTGAATATAATACACTATAAAACATATAAAAAGTGAACTCTATAGCGCCCCCTACCATAGACATGAAACATCAACATTATTGGATTTGTACCAAATTTGGGAATTAAATTCTATATATGATTACAAGTCAGAAAGTCTATTATGGACATGGTGCATTTTCCACCATTGGCCAGCAGGGGCGCAATGACTCCTAAAATTATTTCAAGGTGCATTATGTAATGTGTCTAATGGACGAGCTGTCGGCCTGGGCAGATGTCGGGAAGACATCGTGCCGGGGCGGTCGTGGGTCCTGGAGGTCATGTGGGAGGGGACTGCCGCCGGGGCGAGGGCCACCATCGCCGCGCCGGCTTTAATTTTTTTTTGTTATTCAAATTGAGCTCTGGTGTGTTTTCAAAGTGTTCCTTTAATTTTCTTTTAGCAGTATCTAATAAAAGAAGACTTTCCTTGAGCCTTGAGTATATCACACGTTATGCTTTTCAGTGGATTAGTTTGGTATTTTTACTCTTCTGGCAATTACTGAATGCGCTACACCACACCCTCAGTTTGCTCCACTCCACCTGATATTTAGACATGACACACCTCTTGTTTACAGTTCCACACCTAGCGCTAAGACTGGGGGCAAGATTGTTTGGAAACAGCATTATTTTTGCATTAGAATTTTTCTCCTGTTCGTCCACAGAGTATAAGGCACGCGTCAATGCCATACAATGAGTGTGTATACATGCACATTAGTATCCCGGTTATGATTGTATTTTTGAGTATCCTGCTCAGCTACGGCATGTATAATCCGCTAATGACACCGTGTAGCTTCAGTCCTGGCTTAGTCCTGGTCCAATCCTAGTTTAGTCCTGGTCCAATCCTGGTTTAGACCTGGTCCAGTCCTGGTTTAGTCCTGTTGTAGTTCTGGTCCAGCCCTGGTGTAGTTCTCCTGGCGATCAGCTCAGCGGCTGGGTCATATATACATAATCCGTCAATGACAGGCGTTGTTCTGGTGTTTGTGGCTCTTTTCGATTCTGGTGTTTGTGGCTCCCCGCCTCAGTGAGGCTCTTTTCTTGTTCTGGTGTTTGTGGCTCCCCGTCTCGGTGAGGCTCTTTTCTTGTTCTGGTGTTTGTGGCTCCCCGTCCCGGTGTGGCTTTGAACGAACGAGAAATCCCACACTCCAAATTTATGAACAGTTTATCCTCAGCACCTCAGAGATGCCTCCTGCATCTCTACTGTGGGTGTGTATGGTCGGATTAATGGGCTTTCGGACCAACAGGCTGACCCTGTAGTGATGTGTACAACATTTTAGCTATAAAACATGGGAACAATTTAACTACACATAGGAACGATTTAGCTAAAACCTGGGAACAAATTAACTACATGTGGGAACGAAATAGTAATTTGAGGCCACGATTCACGTCATCAGCCAGGCTCTGTAAAAATCAGATTTTTACATCCAGTTAATCTTACAATTGCCCTTGCTTGAGAAGTAGCTTTCCCAAATACTTTTTTGGACCATGACTTTGTACTTCTACGAATAATGTGACTTTGAATTAATAGTTTTAACTCTGACGTGAATTAGAATGTTTTGGCTACTCTAAACCTCAGATATGCTGTTGTCCTCTCTCAGGTGCTGTGCTCTCAGCTGTGCCCCGGGGTGAATGAGCTCAACTCTAACGGAGAGTCTCCACTTCACGTGGCCTGTCGCCTGGGCAGGGTTCAGGCTGTCAGGGGTCTGCTGGAGGGAGGGGCCAAGTGTGATGTCATTGGAGGCACAGGCTATCCCATCCACACTGCCATGAAGTACAGCGAGAAAGAGTAAGTCTCAGGAAATCCTCACAGCTACATGTGAGCATTCAATGTGTACATGGTGTTTTAATAGCATTAGCTCTTGTTCGTAGTCTGCTGATTTGTCAATTTTATGATAATTTCCCCTTTACCTCCTCATTATCTCCTTTAGTCCTCCAGACTTCTTCCCTCCTCTCCTCTTTGACGTACCTTTAGTGGGGTTAGGTGTTTGGTTTCACCTTAATTGTTAAGTGTTCTGTGTGTCTTGTGTGTGTCAGGTGTGTGGTGGAGATCCTAAAGGCAGACGGTGGTCAGCTGCAGGTGGAGGATCCAGTTTATGGAGGCATCCCTCTTCATTGGTCCAAGAACGCAGAGGTGAAACTAACTTTTTATCTGCAACTTATTTCTCCTTAATTAACAGGTAATACTATAGCATGTTTCAATTCTAATGGTTCATGCTTATTTTAAATATTCCTGTACTGTCCTGCATTTAAGGTTTTTGAGTGCTGTTTTCCTCTTTTTTGAACAGGAAGTAAGTTGACCAATTTCCATTATGTATGTTGTTGTTTAAAAAAAGTTAAGAGACAATTTGCTGTTTACTTTGGAAGAAAATTTAATGATGATCTACATATGACCCACATATATATATATATATAAAAAAAAAAAAAAATGTGTTTCTCACCTTCCACGGTGGTAGGTCTCTCTCACCCTCATTGAGCTCGGGTCCTCTACCAGAGGCCTGGGAGCTTGAGAGTTCTGCGCAGTATCTTTGCTGTTCCCAGTACTGCACTTTTCTGGACTGAGATGTCCGTTGTTTTTCCCGGTATCTGTTGTAGCCACTCTTCCAGTTTGGGGGTTACAGCCCCGAGTGCTCCGATCACCACAGGCACCACTGATGCCTTTACTTTCCAGGCTCTCTCCAGCTCTTCCTTGAGCCCCTGGTATTTCTCTAGCTTCTCGTGTTCCTTTTTCCTGATATTACCATCGCTTGGTATTGCGATGTCCACCACCACGGCTCTGCTCTGTTTCTTATCCACCACCACTATGTCTGGTTGGTTCGCCATCACCATTCTGTCAGTCTGTATCTGGAAGTCCCACAGGATCTTGGCTCGGTCATTCTCCACAACCTTTGGAGGTGTTTCCCACCTTGATCCTGGGGTTTCCAGCCCGTACTCTGCACAGATGTTTCTGTACACTATGCCCGCCACTTGGTTATGTCGCTCCATGTATGCTTTCCCTGCCAGCATCTTACACCCTGCAGTTATGTGCTGGACTGTCTCAGGAGCCTCTTTGCACAGTCTCTACACCGTGGGTCTTGTCTGGTGTGGTAGATCTGGGCCTCTATTGCTCGAGTGCCCAGGGCCTGCTCCTGAGCAGCCAGGATCAGTGCCTCTGTGCTGTCCTTCAGACCAGCCCTCTCAAGCCATTGGTAGGATTTCTTGATATCAGCCACTTCAGTTATGTTCCGGTGGTACGCCCCATGTAGGGGCTTGTCCTGCCATGATGGTCCCTCCAGCACCTCTTCCTCTGGACCCCACTGTCTGAGACATTCTCTGAGCACCTCATCTGCCGGGGCCTTGTCCTTGATGTACTCAAGGAGCTTGGATGTTTCATCCTGGACAGTGGTTCCCACACTCACTAGTCCTCGGCCCCCTTCCTTCCGGCCTGCGTACAGTCTCAGGGTGCTGGATTTGGGATGGAACCCTCCATGCATGGTCAGGAGCTTTCGTGTCTTAACATCTGTGGTCTGTATCTCCTCCTTTGGCCAGCTTACAATCCCTGCAGGGTATCTGATCACTGGCAGGGCGTAGCTGTTGATTGCCTGCACCTTGTTCTTGCCATTGAGCTGGCTTCTAAGGACTTGCCTCACTCTTTGCAGGTATTTGGCCGTAGCCGCTTTCCTTGTTGCCTCTTCGAGGTTGCCATTTGCTTGTGGGATACCAAGGTACTTGTAACTGTCCTCAACGTCTGCTATTGTTCCCTCTGGGAGTGACACCCCCTCTGTGTGGACTACCTTCCCTCTCTTTGTCACCATCCTGCTACATTTCTCAAGCCCGAATGACATCCCAATGTCTGTACTGTAGATCCTTGTGGTGTGGATCAGTGAGTCGATGTCTCGCTCACTCTTAGCGTACAGCTTGATGTCATCCATGTAGAGGAGGTGACTGATGGTGGCCCCGTTTCTGAGTCGGTATCCATAGCCAGTGCGGTCGATTATTTGGCTGAGAGGGTTCAGGCCTATGCAGAACAGTAGTGGGGACAGTGAGTCTCCTTGGTATATGCCACATTTGATGGACACATGTGCAAGTGGCTTCCCCTTGGCTTCAAGGGTGGTTTTCCACAACCGCATCGAGTTCGCAATGAACGCCCTTAGAGTCCTGTTGATATTGTACAGCTTCAAGCACTCAGTGATCCATGTGTGTGGCATTGAGTCGTAGGCTTTCTTGTAATCAATCCAGGCAGTGCACAGGTTGGTCTTACGGGTTCTGCAGTCGCGGGCGACTGTTCGGTCAACCAGGAGTTGGTGTTTGGCTCCCCTGGTGTTTTTGCCGATGCCCTTCTGTGCTGCACTCATGTATTGATTCATGTGCCCACTTATCTTAGCCGCAATGATGCCTGACATGAGCTTCCATGTTGTGGAGAGACAGGTTATTGGCCGATAGTTGGATGGGACTGCACCCTTTTGAAGGATCCTTTAGGATCAGGATCGTACGCCCTTGGGTTAACCATTCAGGGTGTGTCCCATCCCTTAGCAGCTGGTTCATTTGTGCTGCCAGGCGCTCGTGGAGGGCAGTGAGCTTCTTTAGCCAGTACGCATGGATCATGTCAGGGCCCGGTGCGGTCCAGTTTTTCATACCTGAGACTCTTCCCTGGATGTCTGCCACTGTGATGGTGACTGGATTCTGTTCAGGGAGGTTGCTGTGGTCTTCTCTCAGATCCACCAGCCACTGTGCATCGGTGTTATGTGATGCCTCCCTTTCCCATATGCCTTTCCAGTACCTCTCAGTCTCCAGCCTTGGTGGGTATGCTCTGCTGTTATTACCCTGCCACTGAGCGTACACTTTCGCCGGTTGTGTTGCGAACAGCCGGTTTATTCGTCTGGCCTCGTTATCTCGTGTGTACCTCTTTAGGCGGCTGGCCAAGGCTTGGAGCCTTTGTTTGGCAGTTTCGAGTGCTTCAGGTATGGGCAACTGGTTGTACCTCTTGGCCACTTGCTTTTTCATTGCACCTTTCTGGGCCTCTGACAGTTGGCTCACTTCTCTCCGCACCTCCTTGATTTTAGCCTCTAACCGTCTTTGCCATGGTGGGTATTGTATCGCATGGCTCCCATGGTTGCTCTTATAGCCCAACACATCTAGGATCACTGCTGCTGAAGTGTATATCAGCTCATTGGTTTCAGTGATTGTTGTGGTAGGGATCACTGTCAGTGCTGCATTCACATCGTCTAGGAGACTTTCAGATGGTACTTCACATAGCCTCTGTAACCGGCATCGGGGTTGCCTTGTGTTCATTCGGGCCATGATCTTATCTTTCAGGTCAGTCGCTGCCTCGCTCAGCGTGATACTTATTGGGGTTTCGTACCCAATCTCTGGTTGGGGAGTTGGTGTCAACTCCCCTCTGACCTGGCACACTGGTTCCCCCTTGCCGTGGCATTTGTGTTGTACCTCATCAATCTCTAGTTGTGATAGCAGTTGCTGTTTGTGGATGTTGGAACACTGAGCTACTAGTTGTTTGGCCGTTAGCTTGGACTGTGGGTATCGTAATAACCATTTCTCCCACATCCTGTTCATGTAACCCCTCTGCCTAGGGTTACTGTAGTAGTAGCATTCCAACAGAGCCTTGTTCTCGCATCTCGCCCATTTCCGCCGTGTTCCAGTAGTAGTATATATATATACATATATATATATATATATATATATACACACACACACACACACACACACACACACACACACACACACACACACACACACACACACACATATATATACCTACCCGACTCAACAGGGCCACCTAGAATTGGACCCCTATGGGAGTGGGGACAGGGGAGTGGGGACAGGCAAAGTTTGTCGCAGGGAAACGAAATTCGGGACAGTGATAGAGAACAATGAGACAAACCAAAAGATGAATTGGAGCATGACCCTATGACGAACAGGAAGTCGGCCATATTGGATCAAACATTCGCCGCCGTTTTGACTTAGGTGTCTACAAAAAGATTCAAGTCCCCGGGGTTTGGTCCAGATGAGCTCAGATTTGACATGTCACATCTACAGACATAAACTCACAGAAGTTGCCAATTTTTTTTGGAATACTCCTTACGGTTCGCCCGTAGCACGCCGGCGAAAAACGCCTTCATTTCCTGTTTTTTCGGTGACCTGTCACGGCCACAGGCATTGTCCTAGACAACTCAAATTCAAATCACAATTGCGTGATCCAGACCTGAATGTAATGAAATATGAAATCTAATAAAAGTGAACTCTATAGCGCCCCCTAGCATAGACATGAAACGTCAACATTATCGGATTAGTACCAAATTCGGGGATTAAATTCTACACATGATTACAAGCAAAAAAGTCCATTATGAACATGATGCATTTTTCACCACTGGCCAGCAGGGGCGCAAAGAATCCCCCAAAAAATAGTTTAAAAATAGTTACACACACAGGGTTAGTCCGATCGTGCTGAAATTTGAATCTTTAATGCCTGATCATGGCCTGAATATAATACACTATAAACCATATGAAAAGTGAACTCTGTAGCGCCCCCTACCATAGACATGAAACATCTACATTATTGGATTTGTACCTAATTCGGGAATAAAATTCTCCGCATGATTACAAGCAAAAAAGTCTATTACGAACATGCTGCATTTTCCACGTTTGGCCAGTAGGGGTGCAATGACTCCTCTGAAACATTTAAAGGTACACTGTGTAATTTTTCTGCTGGACAAGCTGTCTGCCTCGGGAGCTGTCGGGAAGACAGGGTGGCGTGCCGGGGCGGTCGAGAATCCCCGGAGGTCGAATGGGGGGGGGGGCGGTGCGCGCCGGGCCACCATATCCCCGCGCGGCTTTAATTTCTTCTTGTTTTTCTTCCAGGTGTACAGTAATGTAAACTGGAGCATTGCCACTTATCTCTATTGTGCCTCTGTTTGTTTTTTTTTACTTATTTTTATTGAAAATAAAAAAGTAGCCTATTCTAGTATACATCATATGTGGATTAGAGAAATTAGTATATTGGCAAGTACTGGGGTTAATTTTCCACAAGATATCAATGATGGAACCTAGACATTTAGCAGAGGAAACACTTGCCCATTAATAGCTCCTTTAACAAGAGAAAATCTACCATCTTTATCTTTGTGTACAAAACTCTGTTCAAAGATTACTTGACTTGAGATCAGTATAGCCACTCCCCTTTTATGTTTACCTCTGTATGAAGATAGTCCACTCAAATTTAGTTCTTGTCAGTATATAATATCTGTTTTTTCCTTTCAAATTTTTGTTAGTATATTCGACCTTTAGATTGGAGTAAATATGCCGTTAATATTATAGGATGCTACTCATAATCTTTCCGATGCCATTAGGTAAATTGTATTGAGTACTGCCTAGGGGTGGCACGGTTCACAAAATTCACGGTTTGGTTCGTATTGCGGTTTAAGGTCGGAGTTTTCAGTTTGGTATGGTTCTTGTTGTCATTTTTTCTTTTTAATCTTTAATCTCCAGAATATACTTCAGCATATGCTATGTTAATTATCCACAATTAAGGATACAGTATTAAAAGTTATGTAGTAAAGTAATCATTACAATGTTAGTAATGTAATCACCATAAGCTGAATTTGACTTGACTTTAAGCACATAATTATTGGACATAGACAGCTGTTGTGCTTCAGTGAAAACATTTTACCAATTTCCTAAAGCCTTAGTCACAATAACCCGCACGGGTCTCCACGGGCAGTTCACGGGCGATTTTTGGCCAAGTCCGTACGGGGCTCGCAAGTGGCCCGTACATGATTCCAAGCTCGTAGACCGCCGGCTGAGCCCATAGGGAGGAAATGTTCATGCACATTTTTTCCTGCAAGCGGCCTATGGGCGGCAGCTCATAGCAAGCACTATCTCACACTTACAGGGGAAGTACCGGTCAAGTATGGATCAAGTGCGCGTCACGCAGGTGTGTCATACAGGTTTTTCCATTTTCTCACACCCCGAATTCATGCCCACGCACGGGTCCCGGACGGGCCAATTTCGTTGATCCTGCGGGTCACGTGCATGCCTCGTGCGAGCTACCAGCGTCGCACGACCTGTATAAAAACTGATGCGATGCCTGTGTGGGCACACACGAGTCGTAGGAGCTGTACTATACACACCAAATTTTCGCCGACGAGATGGCCTAATTATCTTAATTCCCGCACACCCAATCACCTACATCTAGCACTCCATTGAGTGTGTGCAACTCGAAAGTAATTTCCTAAGAGTAGTTTATGTAGCTCCTCTATTAATCATGAAAGCACGATCTTAATATCAGCATGGGGGGCCGAACCATGTTTCAGTGAAAAATAAGTATATCTATATCTATGTATATGCATCGATAATGCAAATATGCCTGTATAAATACTATCCTTAGTTCAAGGTAATAAACTCATAATAACGGAAATCTCTCATCAAGCACAATAGAATCCAGTGCTTTAAACAAGTAAGTTACGTAACAGTTATCTTAGTATCATCAAAATAACAAAAATGTCTCAGTTGCTGTCAGTTACTTGAGTCCACATACCTCATGTTCAATCATCAGCTCTGTATTTTTTTGAGAAGCTCATCTGCTGTGTTGAAACTGTGAGCTACTGACAAACTCTCCGCCAGATCCAGAGTAAAGTAAATCCTGTCGCTGTAGTTGATGTCTCCATTAATCCTTGTCTGCTCCTTGTTTTGGTGGTTTAGATATCGCATTATCAGAACTCTCAAGGAATCTGCATCTCCTCTGCGCTGCGCTACACCTGCGCTATCTCAAGGTCCTTTGGTCTGTTTTTTAATGTTCATACTGTATCTTGATTTATGGGCAAAATAGTGAAATAATGAGGATTATGTAGAGTGGGTTAATACAGATATTTTAAGACCAAAATAATGAGTCTGACAGCAGCAGAGGGAAAGAGAGTTGATGCCCATGCTCACTTCTCATTTGGAACGCAGCGGCTAGCATGTTAACTATATGCATTCATGTTTACAGTTTATAGTATAAGATGATAATACTGTACACATATAATGAAATTTAATACAAGGTTTACAAATACTAGCATATAGTTTGTTGACCAAGGAATGTCTTCCACCTTTGGTTTTAAAGTAGAAACGCCCAGCTGACACTGTGTTTCTCGGTGTAGCTGTGCCGTCTTCTGCTGGAGAATGGCAGCGCCGTGAACTACCTCAGTAAAACTGGAGAGAGCCCACTGCACATTCTGACCAAGAAAGGCCGCTTTGAGGCCTCCATGGTCCTGCTTACCCACGGGGCCAGCCCAAACCTGAAGGGCCAGAACGGAGACACAGCCCTGCACCTAGCCATGAAGGTACACCCACCAGCCTATCTCTGCCTCTTTTTTTTTTTTTTTTTTCAGTAAAATGAGAAAAAAAAAATTGTTGTCCCTAATAAATGCACATCATCACAATAAATTTGAGATGATGTTTCAAAGGTTATAAAGGTTGATTACAGTTTTTTTCTATAAATGGCCTGAAAAGTTGTTCAAAAAGCATAAAGAAGTAGATTTGATACTCAATATTGATTCCAATACTGCAATGATAATAAAAAACACTTTCTTCAGAAAACAGAATGGCCTTATCTCTGTGTATTCCCTCAGTCGTCCAGGTAAGTTTTATAGTGGTCCATGGGCGTATACTAGTGTTGGTGTTAATAATGTGGTTTTACTGTCCTGTGAATGTGACTTTTTTAGTACTGAGACCTGCTCATATAAGTATCTAGCTTCAGTACTAGTTTTACTGAAAAAATTGCAAATTAATATTTCCACATGAGTTCAGCATCAAAGGGCCCATATTATGATATTTTGTAATCTGTGTTATAATTTTGTTTCCTCATTAAAAACATAGTTGGATGTTTGATTAGAATTAATATACAACCCCTGCATATTTAGTTCTTCTCTCAAACAGAAAACCATCTGTTCCACCTTGTGATGTCAGGTGATAATACAGGAAGAGCTCCACAATGTTTTTAAACTCCATACACCTTCATTAGAATCATTTGGATTATTTCAGACCTGGAATTGCCAGTCTCTTCTGAACATGGGGATGTAAATAGTAATAAAGGGTTACTCAAATATGAAAATATGAGAATGAATCAAAACACAACTTCAGGTATGTTTTTGATGAGGTACCAACAATATAACATAGCTTAAGAGTCAATTTTGTGTAATATTGGACCTTTGAATATTTATCCTGCTGCCATTTTGATGGTTCTTAATTTTTCACTACATTCTTGACCAGATGGACCATATCGACTTGATCAAAGCTCTCATCGTGTTCGGAGCTGACGTGGAGATACACAATGACCTGGGAGAGACACCTGGTCTCCTGGCTGCACGCTCCAGCAAAGGTGAGTGCTCTGAACCTATGTACAACCACAAGGACACTAACCTGAGTGACTCACCCTCACATCGGGATGGTTATTTGTTTTGATGGCATGATAATTATCTCCAGATTTGAGCTGGAAGTATCTAGCTGGAGGATTACTCTGCATGTTCTAGTTTGACAGGGCGGAAGCTGGACACAGTGAGAGCATGCTAAGTTCACACAGAAACATGTCTTCAGTTGAGGAGCTGAGTATGAGTGGTTTATAAAAATAAATCCATAAGATGATCAAAAGTGACAAGTTGTTCTTGGGCTGTAGCTCTAGATTAGACCACTGGGTATTCTTAGTTTAGATGAACACTGATTTTTATTTTATTTTATTTTTTTAAAGGTTCATTTTAAACCGTTATTCCCCTCTTACTTACCGCAACAAGTCTATAAGCAATTTAAAATGCTTCAGAATTAGATGCAAACAACACACATTGGACTTATTTTGACCTAAAGCCCTGCTTCTACATTATATCTACTGTGGCAAGACCAAGTTGAGGGAAAAAAATCAGGCAGAGGCCCTGAAGTACACCCACTGTGATAAGGTATTAGAGGAATGGACAGTGGATGATGACTACACAACTACATCAACCACATTGTGATAACGCAGCAACGCTTCAGTTCATTGTGACGTTTAAAATAATCTCATTTTGGGATAAACACTGGCAATGCAAAGTTCACAGCATTTCGTAATATTTAATACATATTCAGAAAATAGTTTTAATTTTTGAGATAATAGAAAGTAGAGAGTTACATTCAAATAATTAAAGGAAAGATGTAAAAATATAAATTTTAAATATGGAAATTCAAAAAGCTTTAGACCTAATTTAAAATTGTATCTTTATGAATATGTAATCATATGAAATATATTATCAAAATTTGATATCTGATATCAATATCTGAATTTGTATTCCAAGAAAATAATGCTAGTATTTTAATGGTTGACCTAAACCACTGTTTCCCAAAGACTGGGTCGCGACCCTCAGGTGGGTCGCAATCAAAAAAATTTTTGCTGGTTCAGTGACTGTTTTTCATTGTTTAAAACTTGAGTAAAATTTCAGAGAGACACAATCACTCAGTCGACAATAAAATATCCTCATTAATTTTCAATAATGGTCAAACCCACCTTTATTTTATGATTTACAAATGATGTCTATTGACTTACCACTCTTTTAAATCCAAGGTTATAATATTCCATTGCTCCTGTTTGATATTACAAATGCAATAGTATAAGTGCGTGCTTACAGTTCCATTTGTTACAGTTGTCAAGGGAATATCTCTCTGTTTAATATGAAATGGAATGTTTTGTTCGCTTGATGCTAAAGAGTGCGCGCCGTAGACTAACACTCGCCTGTGCTCTGCCTCTGCTCTGCCTCTGCTCTGCTGCTTGTGCATGAGTGACAGGTGCCAATAGAAAGATCTTACTGGACATGCTGTGTAGTGTGGGAGTTCAGCGCTGTCACCCCCCTGCATATGCCCCGACCCCTGCACGTTCCAGCCCCGCGTCCTCGTCCAAGCCGCCTGCTGCCATAGGTACAGTGTGCATGTGTTCTTTTTCATATATTTCTATAACATGTTAATAAGGTACCAATACGATGCTATGAAATATAAGGTCTGAATAAAGATGTTTACACAACTAACTGAACTTTTGACTATATAAATTAAAGTGGGAGTATTATGTAAAATGGATTTTTTGACAATTTCTACTATAGCCCGACCGATATATCGGTTGGCCGATATTATTGGCTGATATGGGCACTTGGAGGCATATCGGCTATCGGCCTGATATGGACTGATATTTCCCGTGGGCATGTTATACGTCGTTATAAATCTTAGACTTTCTACATTATGTTCATTTAATCCAATTTACAGACAGATAAATGTCCTAATATGTGGCTCTGCAACAGTATTTATCTGCAGAGTCATTTGTCTGTGTGTGTGTCCGTACTGTCCCTGAACACACCCCCAGAGTCACTTCACTCACGTGCGTTTGTTTACACTCGCATACATAGATCCATGTGCGCAACACTGAGATTATATTCTTTTTATGGACAATCGGTTTGAGTCTGGATTAAAAGGACATTTATTAGTGCAGATTTGTGATGTGAGGAGGAGCCTGTGTGAGCGGTGAGTGTTGGAAATATGTCGACTTTGAAGCTAGTTTTGTTTTTTTTCTCATTGGTTAGCCAAAGTTTGTGTAAGGATGTCGCTTTGGCAAGAACAGAATTTTGACTTGTTGCCATGGCAACAAAATGTAAATGGGGTGTGGGCGTCATTGATTTTTTTAATCGAGACCATGTCACAAATGTGGATACCAAATTTTCTGTATCTATGACAAATAAAACCTTATTTTTCCATACAAATTTTCTAGGGGGCGCTATTGCACCCACTTTTCTAACATCAGTCAGGGTCGGGGTGTGAACCCACAATTAAAATTTGAGTGACATTACATGGGTGTCACTGACTTTTGGATCAGGATGCCAAAATGGAATTTTAGGCAAAATTTCAAACATTTTTGAACAACTATTTGGGAACAAATGATTTTCTCCCATATTAAATTTTGTTTCAATCTGTAGGAGGCACTAATGCGCCATATTAATAATTTTCACATTAAGTAGCTTAAAGGTTGTATGGAGGATTTTTTGTTTGTTTCAAATTGTCAATGATAGCATTATAGAGATGCAGTAGCCTTGTAATTATGATGACCAAAAAAAAGAGAATAAAAATTCATCAACTCTGGACGTGGTGGGGCCAGCTAAACATTTGCCAATAGATAACGACACTGCCTCATTATCTGTTAGCTGACAGGCTGTCAATCAATCTCCCTACGTTTCTAGCGTAACTGACTTGCCTGCGCGCCGCCGGTACGTGGTTTACGTACGCCTGTCACGCAGTCCACAGACACAAGACGCACAGACGCTGTTTACTCCACCAACACAACAGTTCTTAGCGGCTTTTTTTGACCTATATCCTCCTCGCAGTTAGCACAAAGTTTGTTGCAATGGCAGACAAGAATTCAGGAGCAGTTAGCCGCAAAAGAAAGTCCGTTTTTGAGAATGCTGAAAGAAGAAGACAAGGGGAAAAGCAGTGAAGCCAAACTAAGGTGATTCTTGAAGATTCATTCCAGCGATGGCGCAACTGAAGCAGACGAAGGGTCTAAAGACTGACGCATTGGTCGCCAAATTACTTCTGGACAGGTCACTTCTGCTTATTATGAAAATGTACTTTATTTCCAAGAGCTAGTCAAACGTTTTTCAGGACACGAAAGCGATATCCTATGTCTGAAAACGTAATTTTCAAGGCAAAGAAAGAGTCTGCTTCCTGCTGCGTGTTGTAGCTAGTTAATTCGCACTGAATCTCCGCGCACCCTTCTCTGCACCCTTTCCTACTCCTGTCCCCACTGCCCGATCCGCTCTTCCCCCTGCTCCTCACTTCTCCGGGCACGGAATCTCCGCGCACCGCTCCCCTCTCCTCTCTCCTCTCCCTGCTCCCTGCTCCTCACTTCTCCGCCTTGCCTAACCAACACTGTAGTTAGTTGTTTACAAGTCATGTGCAGCGCACCGGCTGTAAACAAACCTGTTTCTGGCATAAGGAGGAGGCGGGAGGAGGCGTTTCTACGTAGGGAGCTGTAGGGGAGGGGGGGGTTTCACGCATGCGCAACATTTGAAAAAGGACAAACAGTCGCTGGATTTCTCGTTCCTTGGAAAATCCTCTATACAACCTTTAAGGGCAGAGAGTTTAACAACTGTTTCAAATTTCGTTGAAATCGGAGTTCGTTTGAGCAAATTGGAGCAATTTGTAAATCTCCAAAACTGTGTGCATTTTATGTGGCTTCACTGCTCAGAGATGAGCCATTTTATTTATTTGTGAAAAATGGAAATAACCAAAAGTTAGAGAAGCGCAAGTTTTACCAGATGGCAAAATTTCAGGACTGTTCGTCATTGTTTAGTGGGTGAAAAATGGGTGAGTTGGTTAGAAAAAAAGAAGAAAGAAAGAAAGAAAGAAAGAAAGAATAATGATATGAGATATCATGATATGAGAACAATGTTCCGCTTTTTTTTGGCCGACAGACTATACATTTTCGGAAACCTCTGGCACATTGCTACCTCATGGCGAGGGTCCCTGGCCACTACGGGCGAGTCACGTCGTGCCATTTCATTTATCGGTCACCAGGAGCATCGCTTTGCGATACTAATACGCCCTTCATCAGCTTCTGGCGCTCGGGCCCAATAAAATAAAATAATAATAATTTGAGCAAAAATAATATATCCAAAAACATTAGAACAGCATATTATATGTTGTTTGAAAGCTCTCAACCTTCCCCACGTAATTGTGGGGTCATTGGTGAGTGACAGGCACTGACGCGCTCGTCTTTCACCATCTCGTCTGGGTCGCCCATGACCTCTCGTTGACTTCCATTCATTTTAGCAGTGATAAATATGGCCCAGGCCTTGGGTGTGGGTTACTGGGATACTGCTGTTCATGCCGGGGGCAACTGAGGACTAAGTTGTCGCCCTCTCATATTCGCCCATGCGCTCATCGTTCCCCATTCAGTCCTCGTAGCGAAAGCAATAGGCCCTACACCCTGTCGGGGCTCGGGCCTAAAGCAATGAGTACTCCATGTAAGTATACCGTAATGCTCCCTCTTTAAACAGAAAAAACTAATTGTGACAATCAATTAGACATTTCAATGTTTACTACAATATTTCTTTCACACTTACATATTGGACTTGGACTTGACCTGTTTTAAGGTTAAGGACTAGTGCAGTTGTGTTACTAAACTTAAATATGATAAATTAATACTAAGGAAGTCTCTAGATCATTTATAGATCTACAGTCCCTGACAAAAGTCTTGTCGCTTATCCATTTTTTAGAAACAAAAGCTTATAACCTGACTTTAAATTACTCGGTTGGTTTTAGAAATGTCTCATATGAAAGCTAAAACCCTCCCAAATTATGCTCAATATACTAAAATAAATTAGCTTCACTGAAGAAAGATTGATCATTTAATGAACACAGAAAGGCAGAATTAGTCAATAGTGGGTGTGTATAAAAAGAACCCCAGCACACCAGACCTTCAGATCAACTGCAACTTGACCTCTGACAACATGCCTAAGATCCACCCTGAGACCAAAGTGTTAATTATCAAGAGGCTGAAGACCAGATCCACTGCTGAGGTGGCTGACACCTTCAATGTGTCTCAGTGTCAAGTACAAAGAATAAGAAAAAGATCTGAAATGACTGGAGATGTTTTTGACAAGCCCAGGTCTAGCAGACCCCGCAAGACAGGGAGGGAGGACCGTTTGTTGATTCGAAAATCCGAGGTCAGCCCCTTTTCCACAGCAGCAGACTCCACCAGGCCTGGTCACCTCAAGTCCCTGTGTCAACCAGAACAGTTTGTAGAATTCTGTCTCGAAATGACCTCCATGGTCACAGAAACCAGCACTAAACAAAAGGCAGTTAAAAAACCGTGTGACATTTGCCAAGGCCCACAGCCTGTTAAAAGGATGGACACTGGAAAAGTGGCAGAAGGTGGATTTCTCAGATGAATCCTCGGTCGAATTACATCACAGCCGCCGCAAATATTGCAGGAGACCTACTGTAGCCCGCATGGATCCAAGATTCACCCAGAAAACAGTTAAGTTTGGTGGCAGAAAAATCATGGTCTGGGGTTACATCCAGTATGGGGGTGTGCGAGACATTTGCAAGGTGGAAGGCAATATCAATAGCCTAAAATATCAAGAAGTATTAGCTACCTCGTACATTCCCAACCATAAAATGGGTCAAATTTTGCAGCAGGATGGTGCTCCATCGCATACTTCTATCTCTACATCAAAGTTTCTCAAGGCGAAGAAGATCAAGGTGCTCCAGGACTGACCAGCCCAGTCACCAGACATGAACATCATTGAGCATGTCTGGGGTAGAATGAAAGAGGAAGCATCTCATCTCACAGCACCACTACTTAATTCACTGACGTTATGCAACATATTTTTGTATTTGAAGTAAGTTATTCGTTCAATTTTCTGTAGGCGACAAAACCTTTGTCTTGCCAAAATCTGACCTTTTTGTGTTCATTAAATGATCAATCTTTCTTCAGTGAAGCAAATTTATTTTAGTATATTGAGCATAATTCGGGAGGGTTTTAGCTTTCATATGAGACATTTCTAAAACCAATCGATTAATTTAAAGTCAGGTTATAAGCTTTTGTTTCTACAAAATGGATAAGCGACAAGACTTTTGTCAGGGACTGTACTTTCTTTCTAGTTATGGGATTGATTACTATCCAGATACTATTTGATTTTACAAGCTTAATAATCACCTACATTTGAATAGTATAATAGCATCTGTGTGGGTTTGAGGGCACTTCTGTGCATGAAATGTGTCTGTGTGCTGCGTTTCAGGGTTTGAGAACATGTTTCTCAAGCAAAGTTTTGAAGGAAGTCACATCGACTGTCGAGGAGACACGTCCAAATCCAGCAAAAGAAGGTAAGGGACACTTTATGAGTGAACAAGAGGAAGGACATGTCTAGCTAGAACCTCAGGCTTTGACACAAGTTTACAAGAGCTTCTGGGACTGGAACTATATCCTGTCTCTCAAATTTTAGAGGCAGAAGTGTCATACATACAAGTGAAAATACTGGAGTTATTTATTTTGAAAATATTGTTGTAATGATGTTTTTGAACAATTCAGATTCTCATTTTAATAAAAATTAAGAAGTCATATAATTTTTTGTGTCTTCCGCTAGGTTTCAGAGAGTTTACCTGCTTAAAAAATAAAAATTTAAAACTCTATAGCTATATATTATACTTTTTTTAATGGATACTGTAAACTTGTGAAAATATTTGTCTTCAAAATGCAGCCTGTTAAACTAGTGTGTGTGTGTGTGTGTGTGTTTGTGTGTGTGTGTGTGTGTGTATATATATACACACACACACACACACACACACACACACACACACACACACATACATAAACATATATACACGAGTTTCTTGATCTACATTTCCACATAACCTTTTTCTGTTTTTTGGATCTGATAACACATTGCCTTTTAATGTTGTGTTTGTATGTCAATCAGCCTGGAGCGGCTGCTGTGTCTGGACGGGGGAGGCATTAAAGGCCTGGTTCTGATTCAGATGCTCATCGCGTTGGAGAAGGAGACAGGGCGGCCCACCAGAGAGCTCTTTGACTGGGTGGCTGGCACCAGCACTGGGGGCATCCTGGCCCTGGCCATCATACATGGTAAATGCAGACTCCTGCTTTAGTCTTTGAGACATGGATCTGCTATGGGCTAAAGGACTTCCTGCACTAGAGGAGATGATCTGCACCAGAGATCGACCAATATGTTTTTTTTAATGGCCCATGTCAGTACTGATTGTGTGGAGGAATCTAGAGAAACGAATGGCTGATAAGCTCTGACGATATTTATGCACCACTGTTTATGCACCAGTGTGAACTCTCTATTTCCTATTATATTTTCAGCATCATTTTCAACTTTTTTTTCACAAATTGCTTCTTGATTTGTGTAAAACTATCATTTATATTTACACGAGTTATTTTCCTAGCCAGGCTGGCGCCACCTAGTGCACCTAGTTAGTCTGCATTAATACTAATTGTCCAAGTAATTTCCCTTGTGGATCAATAACATTTGTCTTAAATAAAGCATGAACTCCTGTTCAGATGCAGTACAGTTTGGGTCAGATACTCAAATAGATGTAATGGTTTTGTCATGCCCCCCTTTTAGTCAACTAATCAATTGGCAGAAATTTCTTTAGTCGACTGAGAATTTCTTTAATCAACTACAGCCCTAATCAGAATGATCCCTGTACTGTGCTGTTTTATAGGGAAGTCCATGGAGTACCTGCGCTGCCTGTACTTCCGCATGAAGGAGCAGGTGTTCAAGGGCTCACGTCCGTATGAGTCTGCGCCACTGGAGGACTTCCTCAAGAAAGAGTTTGGAGAAGAAACTAAAATGACCGATGTCCAGTACCCCAGGTAACTTGTGTGTTTTGCCATGTATCTAGGAGAACAACAACTACCACCAGGCTAGCTCACAGTTGGTGTCACTCCTTCTTGTTCAAGTGTATGTCTATGTGGTTTTAATAAATACTTAAAGATAGGGATGCACCTATACAACTTTTTCAGTTGTGATACGTATTTTGATACTATAGCTTCAAGTATCTGTCGATATCTACCGATACCAGTGCAGAGAGTCCCCCCCGAACTGCCACCTTACCGTGCTGGGGGAGTTTGCGTACCCGAATGATCCTAGGAGCTATGTTGCCCGGGGCTTCATGCCCCTGGTAGGGTCTCCCATAGCAAACAGGTCCTAGGTGACAGGGCAGACTAAGAGCAGTTCATAAAACCCACATGAACAGTTTAATATCGAGGACCGTGACGTCGCCCGGTATGGCGCAGCCGGGGCCCCACCCTGGAGCCAGGCGTGGGGTTGGGGCTCGAATGCGAGCGCCTGGTGGCCGGGCTTTTGCCCACGGGGCCCGGCCGGGCTCAGCCCGAAAGGATGACGTGGGTCCACCCTCCTGTGGGCTCACCACCCGCAGAGGGGTTTATAGAGGTCGGGTGCATAGAGGACTGGGCGGCGGTCGGGAACGGGTGTCCTGACAGCCTGGTCCGCACACATAGCATCTGGATCTGGCGACGTGGAATGTGACCTCGCTGGGGGGGAAGGAGTCCGAGCTTGTGCGGGAGGTTGAGAGATACCGGCTAGATATAGTCGGGCTCACTTCTACGCACAGCTTGGGCTCTGGTACCCAACTCCTTGAAGGGGGTTGGACCCTCCATTTCTCTGGCGTTGCCCACGGGGAGCGGCGGCGAGCTGGTGTGGGCTTGCTTATAGCCCCACAGCTCAGCCGCCATGTGTTTGAGTTCACCCCGGTAAACGAGAGGGTTGCGTCCCTGCGCCTTCGGGTCGGGGACAGGTCTCTCACTGTGGTGTCGGCCTACGGGCCGAACAGCAGTGTAGAGTACCCGGCCTTCTTGGAGTCCCTGGGAGGGGTACTGGACAGTGCACCGACTGGGGACTCCGTTGTTCTACTGGGGGACTTCAGCGCCCACGTGGGCAACGCCAGTGACACCTGGAGAGGGGTGATCGGGAGGAACGGCCTCCCCGATCTGAACCCGAGTGGTGTTTTGTTATTGGACTTCTGTGCTAGTCACAGTTTGTCCATAACAAACACCATGTTCGAGCACAAGGGTGTCCATAAGTGCACGTGGCACCAGGACACCCTAGGTCGGAGGTCGATGATCGACTTTGTCGTCGTGTCATCTGACCTCCGGCCGTGCGTCTTGGACACTCGGGTGAAGAGAGGGGCTGAGCTGTCAACCGATCACCACCTGGTTGTGAGTTGGATCCACTGGCAGAGGAGGAAGCCGGAGGGACCTGGCAGGCCCAAGCGTATTGTGAGGGTCTGTTGGGAACGTCTGGCAGAGCCCTCTGTCAGGGGGATCTTCAACTCACACCTCCGGGAGGACTTCTCCCAGATTCCGGGGGAGGCTGGAGACATGGAGTCCGAGTGGGCTATGTTCTCAGCCTCCATTGTCAATGCGGCCGCTCGTAGCTGTGGGCGTAAGGTCTGTGGTGCCTGTCGCGGCGGCAATTCCCGAACCCGGTGGTGGTACCGGAAGTAAGGGATGCCGTCAGGCTGAAGAAGGAGTCCTATCGGGCCTTGCTGGCTCATGGGACTCCTGAGGCAGCTGACAGGTACCGGCGGGCCAAGCGTGCTGCAGCCCGTGCGGTCGCAGAGGCAAAAACTCGGAGCTGGGAGGAGTTCGGGGAGGCCATGGAGGAGGACTATCGGACGGCCTCAAAGAAATTCTGGCAAACCATCCGGCGCCTCAGGAGGGGGAAGCAGTTCTTCACCAACACTGTTTACAGTGCAGGGGGAGAGCTGTTGACCTCGACTGGGGATGTTGTCGGGCGGTGGAAGGAATACTTTGAGGATCTCCTCAATCCCACCGTCACGTCTTCCGAGGAGGAAGCAGAGGCTGGAGACTCAGAGGTGGACTCATCCATCACCCTGGCTGAAGTCACCAAGGTGGTTGGCAAACTCCTTGGTGGCAAGGCTCCGGGGGTGGATGAGATCCGTCCTGAGTACCTTAAGTCTCTGGATGTTGTGGGGCTGTCTTGGCTGACACGCCTCTGCAACATCACGTGGCGGTTGGGGACAGTGCCTCTGGACTGGCAAACCGGGGTGGTGGTCCCTCTGTATAAGAAGGGGGACCGGAGGGTGTGTTCCAATTACAGGGGAATCACACTCCTCAGCCTTCCCGGTAAGGTCTATGCCAGGGTACTGAAGAGGAGAATCCGGCCGATAGTCGAACCTCGGATTCAGGAGGAGCAGTGTGGTTTTCGTCCTGGCCGTGGAACACTGGACCAGCTCTACACTCTCCATCGGGTGCTCGAGGGTTCATGGGAGTTTGCCCAACCAGTCCACATGTGCTTTGTGGACTTGGAGAAGGCATTCGACCGTGTCCCTCGTGGTGTCCTGTGGGGGGTGCTCTGGGAGTATGGGGTCCGGGGCCCTTTGCTAAGGGCTGTCCGGTCCCTGTATGACCGGAGCAGGAGCTGTGTTCGCGTTGTCGGCAGTAAGTCAGACCTGTTCCCAGTGCATGTTGGACTCCGCCAGGGCTGCCCTTTGTCACCGGTTCTGTTCATTGTGTTTATGGACAGAATTTATAGGCGCAGTCAGGGGTCGGAGGGGGTCCGGTTTGGGGACCACAGGATCTCATCTCTGCTGTTCGCAGATGATGTTGTCCTGATGGCTTCATCGAACCAGGACCTGCAATGTGCACTGGGGCGGGTTGCAGCCGAGTGTGAAGCGGCTGGGATGAAGATCAGCTCCTGCAAATCCGAGGCCATGGTTCTCAACTGGAAAAAGGTGGCTTGCCCTCTCCGGGTGGGTGGAGAGTCCTTGCCTCAAGTGGAGGAGTTCAAGTATCTCGGGGTCTTGTTCACGAGTGAGGGAAGGACGGAACGTGAGATTGACAGGCGGATCGGTGCAGCGTCGGCAGTGATGCGGTCGCTGTATCGGACCGTTGTGGTGAAGAGAGAGCTGAGTCGAAAGGCGAAGCTCTCGATTTACCGGTCAGTCAACGTTCCTACCCTCACCTATGGTCATGAGCTCTGGGTAATGACCGAAAGGACGAGATCGCGGATACAAGCGGCCGAAATGAGTTTCCTCCGCATTGTGGCTGGGCGCTCCCTTAGAGATAGGGTGAGGAGCTCAGTCACACGGGAGGAGCTCGGAGTAGAGCCGCTGCTCCTCCACGTTGAGAGGAGCCAGTTGAGGTGGCTCGGGCATCTGTTTCGGATGCCTCCTGGACGCCTCCCTCGGGAGGTGTTCTGGGCATGTCCCACCGGGAGGAGGCCACGGGGAAGACCCAGGACACGCTGGAGGGACTATGTCTCTTGGCTGGCCTGGGAACGTCTCGGGATCCCCCTGGAAGAGCTGGAGGACGTGTGTGTGGAGAGGGAAGTCTGGGAGGCCCTCCTCAGACTGTTGCCCCCGTGACCCGACCTTGGATAAGCGGAAGAAAATGGATGGATGGATGGATGAATAGAGTGACATCTGCATCCATCATGACAGATACAGCCACAACTCAGTGACAGCAACTTCTCAAATGTGTCGCAGCAGGTTCAAATCTGCATGCCTTGACTTTTGCAACACATTTTGGGATGTGCATATGGCAAAACCAATTTGCACTTGTAGAGAGCTGGGGGGAGGGGCAGGAGGGGTTGACCAGTCAGAAAGGGGGAAGATGAAGAATCAGTATATCATTCGTTCATTTGTTTTTCAAAATAAAACCAAAAATAAGTAAACGAAACAACTATTTTCTTCATTATTTGTCTCAAAATGAAAAAATGGATAACGGCCGAAATTTCCCATTTACGTTTACATTTGCTTTTGCACCGCATACGATTGAACCAGGATTAAAACAGGACTAAAATAGGTCTCAGTCCTGATCTCAGTCCCTGTTTGATCCCAGTCTTGGTCCTAATCTAGTCCCAGTCTGGTCCCGGTTTCCTGATCACCAGACAGTCTACGTGGGGGCACCTCTGGGCCAACACTCTTGGTTTAGTCCTGGTTTAGTCCTGGTTCAGTCCTGGTTCAGTTCTGGTTTAGTCCTGGTTTAGTCCTGGTTTAGGACTGAGACCAGGACCGGACCAGAACTGAGACCAGGACTGAGACTGCCCTACAGTCAGTCCGCTTTGCGGATCCGTTGCGAATTTGTTCCTTATTCGCTTTATGACTGTCGCTAACCCTAACTTTTGGGCAGCCTGCTGTCACTGTGAGAATATGTGGCTAAATCATCTTAGATCCACAATGTGAAAGCACTTTTTAACACAACACTAGTTAGATGTGTGAGAATAATAACAATAAGTTAATATTTGATAGCATGTTAAGTATAAGGGCTGCCTACTCTGTTGTCATTTTGAGACGCTTGTGACTGTATTTTGTAATCAGCTTGAACCTAGTCCTGTACCTGCTTGCGCTGAAATAACGAGACCTATACGTGGAACTTTCCATCTCTCTGGACTTACCATACCATACCAACTTTATTTATAAAGCACTTTAAAAACTTTACAGTAGGCCAAAGTGCTGCACACAAACACAGGACAGACAATGACAGTCGCAGTAGAAGAAAATATATGGTACAAACACAATACACCTACTAAAAACATGGAAAACAGTAAAATACTCAACAAGAATTATACATGTCACTTATTAAAAGCCAATGAAAAAAGGTGCGTTTTTAGGAGTGATTTAAACACTGGTACAGACTCAGCCTCTAATCTCTAATGGCAACTGGATCCACAGCCATGGGGCAGCAACAGAAAATGCACAGTCCCCACGAAGCTTACGTTTAGTTTTTGGGACGGACGAGCTGGAGTTGGTCTGCAGACCTGAGTGTGCGAGAGGGGACATAAGGGTGGATCAAGTCAGTGAGGTAGGAGGGCGCTAGGCCATGCAAAC